CGAAAGGAATAAACGTCACTGGAGGGAGCCAGGATTTAGGGAAGAGGCGGATATGAGAGAAAGGGCGAGGGTGGGGAAGAGGAGTGAGGTATGAAAAAGTAGATGTGACAGGTCTGGTCTGGAGATGTCACTGCTAGGAGCGAAGTGACATTTGAAGGGACTTCTGAGGTGCCTTTTGGGAGTGCCTTTTGAACTGCGAGTTTTGAGGTGATTTTCAAGGAGGCTTTTAATGAATAGGCTTTTGGTTTTGAGGCAGGCTTGACATATGAACAGATGTCACTGGGAAGAGAAAAGTCGTTGAAAGAGGGGAAATAGGTCGCACTATCATATGCAATAGAGCGTGCATTGAGGTGTGTTTTGAGGCGCCTCAAAATGTCACTGGGAAGAGAAAAGTCGTTGAAAGATGGGAAATAGGTCGCACTGTCATATGCAGATGAGAGGAGAGGAGAGGAGAGGAAAAAAGAAGAGAAGCAAAGGAGAAAAGCCTCATTCACTCACTCTCTTACGCATCAACCCTTATGCTCACACCCTTATGCCTCAAACTCTATCCCTCAACCTTCATGCTTCAACCCTATTGCTCAGATCAGACCCTTATGCCGGTTACGACCGTGGTGTTTTTGCGTTGTATAGTGCATTTTCACCTTTCAAAAAAAAAAAAAAAAAAAAAAAAAAAATCAGACCCTTATGCCTCAACCCTTACGCTTCAACCCCGTGTGCTCACAATCTAAAACATCAACCTGCGTATGCCTCTGCATTTCCTTGTTTACCCACCAGTGTCCATGTATTCGGGGTCTAAATACCCCAATGTCCCCTTTATTTGAGTGGAAACATGCGTCTTCCCCTCCTCTGGGCCCGCCCTCGCCATTCCAAAGTCTGTCAGCCTGGCGCGCATGTGCTGAAGGGGGGTTGGTTGGGAGGGGGGTGGAGGGTAGAGTGGGGGGCCATGGGAGAAAGGGAAGCTTGTCAAGCTAGGGGAGGAGGAAGGAGAGGGGTTAGGAGAGAGGGACATGGAAGATAGGGAAGGAAAGCACATGCTGACAGCCAGAAGTCTTTCAGTCTGGCATGGATGCACAGCGGGAAGGGGAAACAGAAGGGAGGCAGGAAGGGAGGGAGGAGGGTAGAGGGATGGGAGTGCTGATTGAACATGAAACGTCTTGATCAAGTTGGCGCACCTGATCCAGCAGGATGTTGCACGACTTGAGGCGATTTTTGAGGCGCCTAAAAAATCGAGTGTTGATTGAACATGAGACGTCTCGATCAAGATGGCGCACCTGATCCATCCAGCAGGATGTTGCACGACTTGAGATCCTCTGCTGCCCTCTGAGGTGACTTTTGAGTCGACCCAAAAGTCACGACTTGAGATCCTCTGCTGCCCTCTGAGGTGACTTTTGAGTCGACCCAAAAGTCACGACTTGAGATCCTCTGCTGCCCTCTGAGGTGACTTTTGAGTCGACCCAAAAGTCACGACTTGAGATCCTCTGCTGCCCTCTGAGGTGACTTTTGAGTCGACCCAAAAGTCACGACTTGAGATCCTCTGCTGCCCTCTGAGGTGACTTTTGAGTCGACCCAAAAGTCACGACTTGAGATCCTCTGCTGCCCTCCGCTGACCCCAGCTGCCCCCCGCAACACACACACTCCCACTACCCACCAGATCAAGTAGGCATACCTGGTCTAACAACATGTTGCACGACTTGAGGTCCCGGTGAATGATGGTCGCCCCGTGCAGATACGCCAGGCCCTGTGGTGCCCCCACAGCGATCTGAATCCTCTGCTGCCCTCTGCTGATCCCAGCTGCTCCCAGCAGCACACACACTTCCAATACCCACCCAACTGAGTAGGCGTACCTGGTCTAACAAAATATTGCACAACTTGAGGTCTCGGTGAATGATGTTCGACCTGTGCAGATATGCCAGGCCCTGTGCTGCCCCCTGCCCCCAACTGGCTCCAGTAACTACCCAATCTCATCTCATGCTTACTGTCAAGCACTTCAGGTATTCTCACCTGGTCTAAGAGGATATTGCACGACTTGAGATCCCGGTGAATGATGTTTGAACCGTGCAGGTAAGCCAGGCCCTGTGCTGCCCCCACAGCGATCCGTATTCTCTGCTGCCACGTCAGCACAGGGCGGGGCGAGTCTGTGACGTGGCGGGGGTTGATAGGAGGATGAGGGTGGATGAGAGGAGAGAGAAAAGATGCGAGGATGGGGGGGAGGGAAGACTAGAGGTTGTGTGAGAGAGAATGAGAGGTGGGGTGAGGAGCTGGGGAGAGGGGGAATGAGAGGATCGGGGGTTGAGTGGGAGGGCGGGCAAAAGGGGGGAGGGAGAAGGACAACGGAGAGCGTGAGGTGAGGGGAGGGGAGGTGGGAGAGTGGGGGAAAGGGAGGAGATGGTAGGGTGGTAAGAAAGGAGGGGATAGGGTGGGTGGGGGACAGGAATGCACGTGTGGGTGAGTGCATGTGCATGATGCGTGCCCCACCTTGCATGCGCCATGTATCCAGCCAGCCCCATGCGGCATCAGCGCATACACCAGCATCGCCTGGTTCTCCTGCGAGCAACCACATCTGCCTATGTGCGTGTGAGCGCGTGTGCGTGTGTGTGTGGGCATGCGGCATGCCTCACCTTGCAGTAACCATGTGTCCAGCCCCCCATGCGGCATCAGCGCATACACCAGCATCGCCTGGTTCTTCTGAGAGCAACCACATATGCCTATGTGCGTGTGAGCGCGTGTGCGTGTGTGCGTGTGTGTTTGTGTCTGTGCCCTGCCCACCTTGCAGTAACCATGTATCCAGCCCCCCATGCGGCATCAGTGCATACACCAGCATCGCCTGGTTCTTCTGGGAACAGTATCCGATCAGATTCACCAAGTTGGGGTGTTTCAGCCTTCCCAGCAGCAGAAGCTCGGCCTGCGAGGTAGCAAAATCACATCATATAACGGGAGCACGATAAGGGACAAAGTTTCCGATCAAATTCACCAAATTCGGGCGTTCAGCCTCCCCAGCAGCTTTTGAGGCGCCTCAAAAACCAAATTCGGGCGTTCAGCCTCCCCAGCAGCAGAATTTCGGCCTGCGGCCTAACAAGTGATACATCGGAAGGGGAAGGGAAAAGATCCCAAACCAGGTTCACTGCAGACTTAAATTTCTTCGTCTGACCAACGACATTCACTATGAATCATCCCCGTTACTAGCCCTTCGAGACACTCACCATCCACTCTGTCATTCCTTGAACGCTCTCCTCGTGAAGCACTTTAATCGCCACCTCCATCTTACTATCCGCTTTACTGCCTTTCGCTTTGCCACCATCCCCCTTATCATCAGCCGCGTTAGTAACATTTGCTTTACTGTCATCCCCGTTACTATCCTGCCAATCTTCAGCTCCTAATCCAGACAACTTCCCCCGGTAAACTTTTCCAAAGCTTCCTTCCCCCAAAACGCGGCTCGATTGGAACTTATTAGTAGCCGCCGATAGCTCCTTATAAGAGAAAGCTATGAGGCCAGAACCGCCAGAACCATCGAAACCGGATAGTCGCGAACCCTTAGGCTTTCCGCGTGGGCTGGAAAAACCGCTACTAGTCTTCCCGCGTGGGCTAGAAAAGCCGTTACTAATAAACTTAAACATCGCTTAAGTGGCGACGGGCGGCCTATTACTAGAAGTGATGGCGTAAAAGCGACAAAACAAGCCCCCTACGCCTCGCGCGCTTCGAGCGCCTAAACAAGAGTGATACTAGGGCTGGCGGGTGGTGGTTGTGTCAAAATTCTAGGCGCTTTAAGAAGCGACTCGATGCTAACTTCGTTCGTAACTGATGACTGGTACACCTAATAGCTTTTCGTCATTCATAAGTGATTCCAATCTTATTGCTGGTTGCCTCGAATCGCATAGTATTATCCTAAGCCCAGCATATGCTTGAAGTCACACAGCTTTTAGTAACTGTCAGGTTGAACCATGCCGCGGAATCAGGCGGGCAGGACCGTACAGGACCGCGACTCAAGAGTATCTAACTACTGTACCACATTGTCAACTCTCGAACATAAATTGCCATTCCGGCCTAAAGTCAGCAACAGCTCACAATCGAATTGTCAGCCTTTCCTATTATCTTTACTATTCAGCGAAGGTAGCGAGCGCTTTCCAGTCACCTCCAGAGTGAAACAGCATCATCAGTCAACCTAGAAAAAGTCGTCTCCTCATATTTCTCCATCAGCAAAGCGTACTTGTAGAAAAACGAGGGAAGAAACATGCACCAGAAGAAACAAGCACTAGATAACGCCCACACGACAAGCAGCAGTGTCACTCCTACCAACTGCTTCCTTCTGGTGGTATTTTGGCGGCTGCACCCAAGTCCCGACCTGACCTGCTGGTTGACTCGGTTTGTGAGAGACATGATCGCCACGGACCGAATCAAACCGTTCAGCAACAAGCCTAACCGAGTGAGGCCGAGGTACGCCCAAACCCGGAGGGCTGTCCCGAACCACGCTGAACGAGGCCGGGCCGTTTTGAGCCAGGCTCGAATCAAGCCAAGCCTAGCCGGGCCGAGCTGAACCGACCCGAGCCGAACCAAAAGTTTGCTGAGGGGCAGGTAGACTCGAGGGGCAGGTTGTTCTCCTCGTGCTGTGCTCTAAAAAATGTGTGGTTTACATGTATGCTAGTTGGAAACTCTCTTCAGTCGGCCGAAGAAGCACTAACGGGGATTTTTCCATCCCACCATCGCCCTCCAGCAAGCTACTGATGAATGCTTGTCCCTGAATTTCCTCTTTAACACTTTGTTCGGTGGCCAGGCGTAAGGTCTGTCGCGAGTCTTCTTCGCCATAGGTGTAGTTCGACGCGCCGCCGCTTTCTAGCGTAGGCGACTGGGTGCAGAGAGACAAGAGAGAAGCTCTACGAACCTGCAGTGGCAAGTGAAATTGGTGTTGACGTGAGGGGAATCGTAGCGGACGCGAGTGGTGATCGTGAAGCGAATCGGAGCGGCTACTTTCTCGTGCGCGGATGGCGAAGGAGTTTGCGGAATTCATGGAGAGGTAGTATTTCCGAGGCGCCAAGAAGAATATGTATTTTCTGCCTATTTTGATTTGTAGAGAAGTACCTGCGTCCCTGGAATGATCCCTCTCCTCATCTAGAACAATTGTCTCATCTAGACCACAGCTCCGGATTGTTGGAGAGGTATCGCTGTCGCACCAATGTTTTGAGACGTCTCAATACACGGATTGTTGGAGACGTCTCTGTCGCACCAATTGTCTTACAACACGCCCTTTCCCGCATCCTGGTGGCCAATAGTATCGCTCCTCTCTCTTCTCTCTCACCGCTCCTCTGCTTCTCCTCTTTCATCTCTCCCCTCTCGCCAACAGCTTCGAGGTGGCAGAGGCTTTCCACAGGAGGGGAACTGCTGCACTCTCGTCCTTCCAAACAGCACACGGTATGGCATGGTGTGGGATTACGTGGTATGGTGTGGTATGCGGTGTGGTGTGGTATGGCGTGGTGAGGTGTGGTGTGGTATGTGGTGTGAGGTAGTAGAGGCTTTCCACAGGGGGGGAACTGCAGCCCTCTCGTCCTTCCAATCAGCACACGGTATGGTATGGTGTTGTGTGGTATGATATGGCGTGTGGTATGGTATGGTATGGTATGGTATGGTATGGTATGGTATGGTATGGTATGGTATGGTATGGTATATGGTATGGTATGGTATGGTATGGTATGGTATGGTATGGTATGGTATGGTACGGTATGGTATGGTATGGTATGGTATGGTATGGTATGGTATGGTATGGTATGGTATGGTATGGTATGGTATGGTATGGCATGGTATGGCATGGTATGGTATATGGTATGGTATGGTATGGTATGGTATGGTATGGTATGGTATGGTATGGTATGGTATGGTATGGTATGGTATGGTATGGTATGGTATATGGTATGGTATGGTATGGTATGGTATGGTATGGTATGGTATGGTATGGTATGCTATGGTATGGTATGCTATGGTATGGTATATGGTATGGTATGGTATGGTATATAGTATGGTATGGTATGGTATGGTATGGTATGGTATGGTATGGTATGGTATGGTATGGTATGGTATGGTATGGTATATGGTATGGTTTGATATGGTATGGTATGGTATGGTATGGTATGGTATGGTATGGTATGGTATGGTATGGTATGGTATGGTATGTCATGTAGTACGGCATGGTATATCGTAGGTATGGTATGGTATGCTATGACATGTGGTTTGAGATGGTGCATTTCATTCCTTATGGACACTGTCCATGTCTCAGCTGGTACTGTTCACGGGATGGATGAAATGTACTGCTCTGATACAGTGGGTCAGTGCTGTTTATGATGTCGTGGCACACTGTTCATGCCATCGCTCATGGTATCAGAGCAGTACCACCACTCATCCGCTGAAGCCATCTCAGAGTCCCCTCTCGTGTCAAACATCATCGCATCCCTCCCTCCCTCCTCCCCCAAACCCCTCTCCCACCCCTCCCCCCCGCCTCCCGTCCCCCCCCCGCCTCCCTCTGAAGCCATCTCAGAGTCCCCTCTCGTGTCAAACATCCTCGCATCCCTCCCTCCCTCCCCCCCTCGTCCCCTCCCCACCTCTTCCCACTCCCTCCTCCCCCAACCCCCTCTCCCACCCCTCCCCCTCCCCCGCCCCCACCATCCGTGGTATCAAAGCAGTTTTATCGCTCATCTGCTAAAGCCGTGTTCAAGTCCCCTCTCGTGTCAAACATCATCGCATCCCTCCCGCCTCCCCCCCTCTCCCCGCCTCTCCCCTTTTTTTCCTTCTTCCCCCACCATCCATGGTATCAGAGCAGTTCTACCGCTCATCTGCTGAAGTCATTTCTCAGTCCCCTCTTGTATCTGGCATCCTCGCGTCCTTCCAGAACAAGCCGCCGTTTGCCGTACCCGACCCAACCAAAGCAACATCAGCATCACCATCAGCCATGCATGCGATCTCCACACCATCACCAGCATCCTCATCCCCATCGCCTGTGGCTGAATACATGGCTGCTGGCTGCACTCGCCCGTCCAAGCAGCAACAAGCCGCCGTCACATGTACGTAGCATTGCTGCATGTAACATCATCATGACCACCATCAGCACCACCTGCACCATCATCCCCATCGCCTCTGGCTGAATACATGGCTTCTGGCTGCACTCGCCTATCCAAGCAGCAGCAAGCAGCTGTCACATGTACGTTCCACCACTTGTATACCATCACTGTCAGCAGCACCAGCACAAACACCAGCACCATCACCAGCAAGCAGCTGTCACATGTACGTTCCACCGTCAATGACAGCAGCACGAGGAGTAGCATCAGCATCAGCATAGCATCAGCATCAGCATCAGCATACCATCAGCATTAGCATCAGCATCAGCATCAGCATCAGCATTTGCATCGCGTCAGCATCAGCATCAGCATCAGCTTCAGCATCAGCATCAGCATCAGCATCAGCATAGCATCAGCATCAGCATAGCATCAGCATAGCATCAGCATCAGCATCAGCATAGCATCAGCATCAGCATCAGCATAGCATCAGCATCGGCATCAGCATCAGCATCAGCATCAGCATCAGCATCACAATCAGCATCAGCATAGCATCAGCATCAGCATCCGCATCAGCATAGCATCAGCATCAGCATCAGCATCCGCATCAGCATAGCATCAGCATCAGCATCAGCATAGCATCAGCATCAGCATCAGCATCAGTATCAGCATGAGCATGAGCATGAGCATGAGCATGAGCATCAGCATAGCATCAGCATCAGCATAGCATCAGCATCAGCATCAGCATCAGCATAGCATCAGCATCAGCATCAGCATCAGCATCAGCATAGCATCAGCATCAGCATCAGCAGCAGCATCACAATCAGCATCAGCATCAGCATCAGCATCAGCATCACAATCAGCATCAGCATCAGCATCACAATCAGCATCAGCATCAGCATCACAATCAGCATCAGCATCAGCTTCCCATCGCCGCTGGCTGAATACATGTCTGCTGGCTTTCTTCCCCTCTCTGCCTCTTTTTTCTCTTCAAAATGGCAGTGCATACCTATCTCACGCTGCTGCAGCAACTGTTGACTCTTTAGTCGATGCTTAGTCACTTCCCCCTTGTTCCTTCCTCACTCTGCCTCTCGTTTTTGTTCAGAATGGCAGTGCACACCTCCCTCCGCTGCTGCAGCAACTGCTGCCTCTTTAGTCGATGCTTAGTCACTTCTCCCTTGCTTCTTCCTCTCTCTGCCTCTCGTTTCTCTTCTGAATGGCAGTGCATACCTCCCTCACACTGCTGCAGCAGCTGGTGGAACTGCATCAGGTGAGCTTGTAACAGGTTACCATGTAACGATGTAACCAGGTAACCATGTGACTATGCAGGAAACAGTGCTTGAAATGGACGATATTTGTCACACTGCCACCTCACGCTTACTATGAGAGACCCCCCACGTGTGCATGTGCTTATGTGAGCATGTGTGTATGTGTGCATGTACTTATGTGCTGTTTGTCTTCCCACACATACAGGAGACAGTGTCAGAGATGGAAGATATGTATCACACTGCCGCCGCACGCTTGCTTGAGGAGAATCTGCATGCGTCAGCCCAGCCTGCTGGTGATGATGGTGTAACTGCTGCTGCTGCTGGTGCAGTTAGTGGTGATATTGCTGATGTTCATAATTCTAATGCTGCTAATGCCAGTGCTGATGATGGTGCTGATGGTGGTACTGATGATGGTGCTGGTGATGGTACTGATGACAAGGACAGTTTGGGAGGAGCAATAGCAGGGACACGAAGCAGTGTAACAGTGCAAGCTGATGTGGTAACCATGATGGCAGCTGTGCTGGAAATGCTCAAGGAGGACCTTCAAATGAAGGTGCAGATTTGCCACCCGGGCTCGTTCGTTCTTAGATTGTTTCTCTCGATTTTTTTGTTTTTCCCCTCGAACATGTTCTAGTCTGTTCAATGTCTCATCCCCCACCTGCTCCCTTCTCACTGTCCCTCTTTCTCCTCTATCCTTTTTGTTTTCTGTGCTTGTTCTTGTCGTATTCAGCTCACCATAGTGGCAGACCTCTCTCTATCCACATCAGCTGCACACGTGTCAACATACTCGATGATGTGGCAGCTTCGGCCATTTGTGGATGAAAGGGTAACCAAAGAAGCTAGCAGATGGGCAAGTAGGATGAAGGTAGAAACTGCCAATTAAAATAAATGGTAGCTTAGATAGCTCTAATGCAAGATGTTTTAATTTTCTGTCAGTACTTGGTAGCCATACCAGCTCCCATATATCGTTTGAGTCTCTTTCTATTACTTATCATGTGTGGCTCACAGCGAACCATGTCTATATCGAGAGTCAGCTCAAGTAAGGATCACGGCAGAATTGCGAAGCCCCGAAAAACGAGTCCGTTTGATTCAGTCCGAAATCCAACGTCTTGTGTCTTCCTGCCCTCCTCTACAGCTGTGCTCCTCAATCAACCCAACATAGCCAGCCATGGATGGCATTCAGATCCTACTGTCTTGTTCGTCCTTCTGTTATTATGCCTAAGGATGCCTAGGTTGTCGCTCACAGGTCACTAGCAGAATGGTGTTGTTCCATCAGTCATTGTGTGATCGTCAGGACGCTCAACTCAAGCGCCGCAGCTGCTCCAGGAATGACCGTTTTCAGGAATCACCCCGCAGTGACGATCTCGATTCTATTCCCTGAGTCGAATTTGCGGATAATATCCCCGTAATTTTCCACTGTGATTTCTCAGCGACGACGTCCGAAAACTCTGGTGCAGCGAATTCGGACACTTACGCAATGTCTAGCGCCAGAAAAGTGGCAGCTGTCGCGAGTTTGAAAGCGGCAGCGGAAGAGTCTGCGCGAGAGGTGAGGCCGCCGAAAGGGGGAGTTGGAATTCACACATTGTTGTAGCTGCCGAGATTCCGTTGTGCACATTGCTTGTGACGAATTGCTGTGTTCTATCATTTCTCATTTGTTAGATAATTGCACCATTTATCGTGCTCTATTTTGCCAGGCAGATGACGTCAGCGGCAAGGGACAACATCGAGGAAAGTTCGTGAACGCTCACCAGGCGAGACTCGCAAAAATTGAAGCGGCCAAGGCTAAGAGAGCAGCCGCTGCTGCTGCCGCGGCCGGTGGTTCTGCAGCCAATTCGGCTAAGTCTTCTAATTCCGCAGATGACTAACGAAAGCAAGGTTAGTTTGGTAACTCGCCTGACTCTTTTGTCACCTTAGTTTCCTTCCGGAGGGGCTGTGGGTTGGAGCTCGTTCGAGTGCTTCACGTGCTTGAAAGTCGCTCTATTCCACAGTGCCATCGCCTCTTCAAGTTGGCCTTCGGGGATATTTATTGGGAGCATTGTCAGAAGTGGCATGCCTCTGTGGTGTCCATCTCTTGGATTGTTCCTACATTAAGTTACAGTCACGTTCGTTTCAGCCATATTCTTCATTTCTATTCTCAGTTAGGTTGGGAAACGCTTACCGTTTCTCAGTTCAATCCATTTTCTTATCACCAGTTTTTTTCCTCAAGGCTACTCCATTATTTACTGAACCACAACTCGCATGTATTTGTTCGCATGTCCCCTTCCGCTGTTCCGCAGGAGGAGGCACAAGGCGCATGCTCCATATTTATCGAAGTCAAACCAATTGTAAATAGACATGAGATGAGATGAGAACTATATCAAAGCGTAGGTGCTTTGCTGTAGCCATGTTTGTTGACGCAATGAGATGAGAGGCATTACTTCACTCCAGATGTTCTGGTCTATTGTCTATCGGTTAGCGAGGAAGTGTAACTAATCTGTATCTTTGTCTTATATGTGAACTGTGATTGCATGTCTTTTGTCCTATACTCGAGGAGAAACTTCAAGCACTTCCAGCAGAACCGTGTAGTGTACAGTCGCGTCAGTCCCCCATTCATCCTATAGGGCGTACAAGGGGTCACTCACGCACCATCACAGAAAAATATTATTTACCTTGCACATCAAGCGTCATTCACGCTCCAAGTCGCTTCACTGGACACTCAAGAGGGTTCCCGCCACCTAAGCAGCGGCGAGTGCGAGTAATTCTTTTCCTAGCGCGGCCAACGAAATCTTTCTTGAATGCTCACCATGGCGCTCCGTCCAGCGATGCAGCTGCTGGTAGCCTATGAGTCATCTTAGACCACTAGGCGAATCTCCCTCGGGATTGCCGGACGATTCGTCCTCGAGATAGGGTGACCAGCGAACGCCCGCCATGGCGATTCCCGCCAGCGAAGTGGCGGCGAGTGCAGCGGCCGCGTTCGCTTTCACTGCTGCGAACCGCAGCTGCATCATCGTCAGCCAGAAACAGGTACCGCGATTCTGAGTCCAAAAGAACCGACTTTCACCGCCACGAACCGCAGCTGTCTCATCGTCAGCCCAAAACAGGTCCCGCAATTATGAGTCGACTCAACAAGTCACCTTGAGTGCAGCCGCAGCGTTCGCTTTCACGGCTGCTAATCGCAGCTGCATCATTTTCAGCCCAAAGCAGGCACCGTGGCTCTGAGTCTCACTCGCCCTCCCCAACTCCTCCCCTTCTCACAGAACCCTTCCTTCTCCTTTCTGATTCGCAGTGCCCTGTACCGCAGAGGCGCAACCCTGTGCTCGTGCACATCAGGAACGTGAGGTGGGCGTTTGGGACTAAACAAGGATTCTGCAAGTAGACTAAAAGAACACATCCCTCGGGTCTTTCCCCTTATGCTCCTTTGCACGGCAGAGGGGCAACCCTGTGCTCGCTCACATCAGGAACGTGAGGTGGGTGTTTGGGACTACAAAAGAGGCACCTTTTCCTTTCTTTCCCCCCTCTGCTCTGCCCTATCCTGTACCGCAGAGGGGCAACCCTGTGCTCGCTCACATCAGGAACGTGAGGTGGGCGTTTGGGGAGATCACTGCCGACTAGTGGCTAAGCTCTCTCTCTCTCTCTGCTCGTTCCCCTCTGATGTCTACTCTGCATGGCAGCGGGGCAACCCTGTGCTCACCCACATCAGGAACGTGCGGTGGGCGTTTGGGGAGATCACGCCAGACTATCTCCTCTCCCCCTCCTCCTGCGCGCTCTTCCTCTCTCTCCGATACCACCTGCTGCACCCAGACTACCTCTACTTTCGAATTAGGTAATTCGAAGCCTGTATTGGACTAGTTTATAACGAACTATTGTACTCTCCCTCCTCCTGATTATCTTTACTCTTCAATCAGCCAGATCTGAGCCTGGTTTTGTATATCTCATGCTTTCGTTTTCTGACATATTGACCTTTTCTATGCCTCTGCCTTTCGGCCAATTAGGGAGCTGCAGAAGAGCTTCCGCCTGCGAATCGTGCTGTGCCACGTGGACGTTGATGACGTCACCAAGCCCCTGCATGACATCACCAAGACGGCTCTTCTGAATGATTGCACACTCCTGTGCGCCTGGAGGTGAGATCCACTTCACTAGTTAGGCAGCCCTGTTTCCCTCTCTTCCTGCCTTCCTCCTGCGGATCGTGCTGTGCCACGTGGACGTTGACATCACCAAGACGGCGCTCCTGTGCGCCTGGAGGTGAGATCCACTTCACTAGTTAGGCAGCCCTGTTTCCCTCTCTTCCTGCCTTCCTCCTGCGGATCGTGCTGTGCCACGTGGACATTGACATCACCAAGACGGCGCTCCTGTGCGCCTGGAGGTGAGATCCACTTCACTAGTTAGGCAGCCCTGTTTCCCTCTCTTCCTGCCTTCCTCCTGCGGATCGTGCTGTGCCACGTGGACGTTGACATCACCAAGACGGCGCTCCTGTGCGCCTGGAGGTGAGATTCACTTCACTAGTTAGGCAGCCCTGTTTCCCTCTCTTCCTGCCTTCCTTCCTTTTGAGTCGACTCAAAATGTCACCTCGTTACAATGGCACAGGACGCCTGGAGGTGAGATCCACTTCACTAGTTAGGCAGCCCTGTTTCCCTCTCCTCCTGCCTTCCTCCTGCGGATCGTGCTGTGCCACGTGGACGTTGACATCACCAAGACGGCGCTCCTGTGCGCCTGGAGGTGAGATTCACTTCACTAGTTAGGCAGCCCTGTTTCCCTCTCCTCCTGCCTTCCTCCTGCGGATCGTGCTGTGCCACGTGGACGTTGACATCACCAAGACGGCGCTCCTGTGCGCCTGGAGGTGAGATCCACTTCACTAGTTAGGCAGCCCTGTTTCCCTCTCTTCCTGCCTTCCTCCTGCGGATCGTGCTGTGCCACGTGGACGTTGACATCACCAAGACGGCGCTCCTGTGCGCCTGGAGGTGAGATCCACTTCACTAGTTAGGCAGCCCTGTTTCCCTCTCTTCCTGCCTTCCTCCTGCGGATCGTGCTGTGCCACGTGGACGTTGACATCACCAAGACGGCGCTCCTGTGCGCCTGGAGGTGAGATTCACTTCACTAGTTAGGCAGCCCTGTTTCCCTCTCTTCCTGCCTTCCTTCCTTTTGAGTCGACTCAAAATGTCACCTCGTTACAATGGCACAGGACGCCTGGAGGTGAGATCCACTTCACTAGTTAGGCAGCCCTGTTTCCCTCTCCTCCTGCCTTCCTCCTGCGGATCGTGCTGTGCCACGTGGACGTTGACATCACCAAGACGGCGCTCCTGTGCGCCTGGAGGTGAGATTCACTTCACTAGTTAGGCAGCCCTGTTTCCCTCTCCTCCTGCCTTCCTCCTGCGGATCGTGCTGTGCCACGTGGACGTTGACATCACCAAGACGGCGCTCCTGTGCGCCTGGAGGTGAGATCCACTTCACTAGTTAGGCAGCCCTGTTTCCCTCTCTTCCTGCCCCTCCTGCGGATCGTGCTGTGCCACGTGGACGTTGACATCACCAAGACGGCGCTCCTGTGCGCCTGGAGGTGAGATCCACTTCACTAGTTAGGCAGCCCTGTTTCCCTCTCTTCCTGCCTTCCTCCTGCGGATCGTGCTGTGCCACGTGGACGTTGACATCACCAAGACGGCGCTCCTGTGCGCCTGGAGGTGAGATCCACTTCACTAGTTAGGCAGCCCTGTTTCCCTCTCTTCCTGCCTTCCTTCCTTTTGAGTCGACTCAAAATGTCACCTCGTTACAATGGCACAGGACGCCTGGAGGTGAGATCCACTTCACTAGTTAGGCAGCCCTGTTTCCCTCTCTTCCTGCCTGCCTGCCTGCCTGCATTCCTGCCTGCCTGCCTGCCTGCCTGCCTGCCTGCCTGCCTGCCTGCCTGCCTGCCTGCCTGCCTGCCTGCCTGCCTGCCTGCCTGCCTGCCTGCCTGCCTGCCTGCCTGCCTGCCTGCCTGCCTGCCTGCCTGCCTGCCTGCCTGCCTGCCTGCCTGCCTGCCTGCCTGCCTGCCTGCCTGCCTGCCTGCCTGCCTGCCTGCCTGCCTGCCTGCCTGCCTGCCTGCCTGCCTGCCTGCCTGCCTGCCTGCCTGCCTGCCTGCCTGCCTGCCTGCCTGCCTGCCTGCCTGCCTGCCTGCCTGCCTGCCTGCCTGCCTGCCTGCCTGCCTGCCTGCCTGCCTGCCTGCCTGCCTGCCTGCCTGCCTGCCTGCCTGCCTGCCTGCCTGCCTGCCTGCCTGCCTGCCTGCCTGCCTGCCTGCCTGCCTGCCTGCCTGCCTGCCTGCCTGCCTGCCTGCCTGCCTGCCTGCCTGCCTGCCTGCCTGCCTGCCTGCCTGCCTGCCTGCCTGCCTGCCTGCCTGCCTGCCTGCCTGCCTGCCTGCCTGCCTGCCTGCCTGCCTGCCTGCCTGCCTGCCTGCCTGCCTGCCTGCCTGCCTGCCTGCCTGCCTGCCTGCCTGCCTGCCTGCCTGCCTGCCTGCCTGCCTGCCTGCCTGCCTGCCTGCCTGCCTGCTCCTCTCTCCCATCCTCTGCCTTCCTGCCTTTCCTGCCTTCCTGCACTGCTCTTACCCCTCAGTCCCAACGAGTGCGCTTGGTACCTAGAGACCCTCAAGAGCTACGAGAACAAGCCGGCTGATTGCCTGCCCTTCTCTTCTGTCACACTTCCCCTCCTGTCCCTTCTTCCGTCTGCTGCCTACCTTCCTCCCTGTTCCAGTCCCAACGAGTGTGCGCGGTACCTGGAGACTCTCAAGAGCTACGAGAACAAGCCGGCAAACGGCATTCAAGAGCGAGTCGACAGCGATTATATTTCCCGAGTAACTATACTGAACAGTGACAATGTTTTCTGGGTAACCATTAAGATTACCGTGGCCTGCCTCTGTCAGCTAGGTGACTTTTGAGTCGACTCAAAAGTCACCCCGTGGCCTGCCTCTGTCAGTTTTCAAGAGCAGGTAGACCGCGGTTACATCTCCCAGGTAATGGTGATGATAGGGGGTTTTACTGAGAGGCCTCGGTTACTTGTTCTGAGACATGTTGAAGTCAAGAAATGGGTAGGGATGATGCGAGGTTTTTCGAAGAGGCTGCAGCTTCTTGCCCCTGTTCTGCCTGCCCGTACCTGCATGGGCACGATTGGACGGCAGTGACTATATTTAAGCCTACTGCACGCACGCAGCTATGTCCGGATCTCGTATGGACACGATCGGACGGCAGTGACTATATGTCCCTGAGTCATGCCTTCTGACGCGTGTGTTTTTTAAGAATTCTCAAAAAACACACGGAAATTCTAAAAAAATACACGGCAGTGACTATATTTCCCTGAGTCATGCCTTCTGACACGTCTCAAAAGTTGCCCTCTGCCCGGCAATATGAAAACAACTGGTTAGTGATTCTATTTCCCGGGTACTGATGAGTCTCTGGGTAATGATGACCCTACATGAGTGAAGCTGCTGCTGCTCTCTCCCTCCTCACACCAACCCTCCCCCACCCTCCGGACCGCCCCTTCCCCTCTTCCCTCTGTCCAGCTCTCACTCTCTTGGCTCTCTCCCTCCTTTCCAACCCACTTCTCCCCCTGCTGTCCCGTTCTCCCACCCGCCTCTCCCCACTTCTCCCCCTGCTGTCCCGTTCTCCCACCCGCCTCTCCCCCCTTCTCCTCCCACCCGCCTCTCCCCCCTTCTCCTCCCACCCGCCTCTCCCGCCTTCTCCTCCCACCCGCCTCTCCCGCCTTCTCCTCCTGCTCTCCTGCTCACCAGCGCCCTCCCTCACGCCCATCCGCCATGTCAACTGCACCGATGCTCTCATGCCCTCTCCCTCCTTTCTAAACCCCCTTCACTACCTCCCATCCTCCCTCTCCCCCATCTCCTCCCTCCTCTCCAGCTCACCAGTGCCCTCACGTCCATCCGCCATGTCAACCGCACCGTTGCCCTTACCCTCGCTTTCCCCTTCCCTCCAAACAATTCTCGCACTCCCTCATTTCATCCCATCTCTCCAGCTCACCAGCGCCCTCACGTCCATCCGCCATGTCAACAAAACCGATGCTCTCACTCTGGGGACTAACTTTGGGGTGAGAGAGTGTGTGAGTGAGTGAGTGTGTGTGTGAGTGAGTGTGTGTGAGTGTGTGAGCGTATGTGCGTAAGAGAGTGAGTGAGTGAGTGCTCTCACTTTGGGGACTAACTTTGGGGTGAGTGAGTGTGTGAGTGAGTGAGTGTGTGAGTGAGTGAGTGTGTGTGTGAGCGTATGTGTGAGTGAGTGAGGTGACAAGATAGAAGCCCGCCATTCGAGGACGCTAATATCTTCAGTGCTTCCATTCCATGTGTTTTTCTTGTACTGTCTATCGCCAAACCTTAGCCAACAACATGGGATGGTGAATTGGTCCCTTTTTTTAAGGCACCTAATAAATGGTGACTTGGTGTCTGGTGCCTTGTGTTTTTTCGCCCTGATTTGTTTTCTTTTTGCGTAACTACATTGAGGCATTTTTATGTAGTTAAAAGTTTTGAGGCCTTGGTGACTTGGGCTTTCACGCAAAATTCTGCCCTGTAATTTGCCATGCTCGCTTTAATCATACAAGTTTTGACACTGCAGTTACATCATGCCTTCTCGTTCCTTCTCGTGCTCTCATTCTGACCAGACTCTGGCCAACATCATGGGGGCATCGATGGATGAGCTCTCGCGGTGCCCAGGGATAGGAGAGAAGAAGGTGGGTGGGTGAGGTACAGTGCTGTATGACTTGGTGGTGTGCGGTACAGAGGTGTATTTGTGTGTTGATGGTCAGGAGACAGTAGAACATAATGGGGGCATCAATGGACGAGCTCTCACGGTGTCCGGGGATAGGAGAGAAAAAGGTGTGTGCTGGTGTGGTGGTGTGCGGTACAGAGGTTAGTGTGTGTGTGGTAATGGGGCAGGAGACAGAAGAACAGCAAGGGGGCGTGGATGACGAGCTTATGGTTCTGTCCCTTCCCCAACACCACCAGATCAACTGACTGATTGCTCTGCACGACCTGCTTGTGAGTTGACTCAAGAGCTTATGGTTCTGTCCCTTCCCCAACACCACCAGATCAACTGACTGATTGCTCTGCACGACCTGCTTGTGAGTTGACTTAAGAGCTTATGGTTCTGTCCCTTCCCCAACACCACCAGATCAACTAACTGATTGCTCTGCACGACCTCTCAATTGCCTTCGCCTGTGTTTCCGCTCGCCCTAAACCTTAAACCCGAAACCCTGAGTTTCTGTGTAAAAATGCATCATCATGTTGTTTCCACAACTCATCACCACCAGATCAAGTGGTTGCACACCGCCCGTGAGCCAGTCTTTTGAGGCGCCTCAAAAGTTGTTTCCACAACTCATCACAACTCATCACCACCAGATCAAGTGGTTGCACGCCGCCCGTGAGCCAGTCTTTTGAGGCGCCTCAAAAGTTGTTTCCACAGCTCATCACAACTCATCACAACTCATCACCACCAGATCAAGTGGTTGCACGCCGCCCGTGAGCCAGTCTTTTGAGGCGCCTCAAAAGTTGTTTCCACAGCTCATCACAACTCATCACCACCAGATCAAGTGGTTGCACGCCGCCCGTGAGCCAGTCTTTTGAGGCGCCTCAAAAGTTGTTTCCACAACTCATCACAACTCATCACCACCAGATCAAGCGGTTGCACGCCGCCCGTGAGCCAGTCTTTTGAGGCGCCTCAAAAGTTGTTTCCACAACTCATCACAACTCATTACCACCAGATCAAGTGGTTGCACGCCGCCCGTGAGCCAGTCTTCTGAGGCGCCTCAAAAGTTGTTTCTACAACTCATCACAACTCATCACCACCAGATCAAGTGGTTGCACGCCGCCCGTGAGCCAGTCTTTTGAGGCGCCTCAAAAGTTGTTTCCACAACTCATCACCACCAGATCAAGTGGTTGCACGCTACCCGTGAGCCAATCTTTTCGACGCCGCAAAATCCATAACTTCCAGATTCACCGGGCTTCGTTCGTGTTTCTGCTCCCCGTCCTCACCAGATCAGGTATCTGCACAGATCGTGAAAATCTAGTATTGAGCCGCCTCAAAACTAGATTTCTGCAGGGAGTTTTTGAGAATTCTCAGAAACTCCCTGCAACACCTCAAAACTATATTTCTGCTCCCGGTCCTCACCAGATCAGGTGTCTGCTCTGCACAGATCGTGCAAATCACGATTTCCATGACCCGATCTTTGAGGCGTGCTCAGAAAGCGTAATCGCCAGATTCGTTTGCCTCCATTTGTGCTTCCACACCCCATCCTCACCAGATCAAGTGGTTGCACGATCCTTTCCATGAGCCGTTTCGGAGGCGTGACTCCGAACAGGCAAAAATAGCCCTCCTACCTGCTTCTGCTGCTGCTGCTGTTGCTGCTGCTGTTGCTGCTGCTGTTGGTGCTGCTGTTGCTGCTGCTGTTGGTGCTGGTGTTGGTGCTGCTGTTGGTGCTGGTGTTGGTGCTGCTGTTGGTGCTGGTTCACACCCTGTGGTTACCCTGTTTCCATACCCCATCCTCACCAGATCAAGTGGTTGCACGATGCTTTCCATTAGCCAATCTAAGAGGCACCTCAAACTCCAGGAGCTCCAGATGAACCTGACTTTGTCTGTGTTTCTGCTCCCACCCTCACCAGATCAAGTGGTTGCACGATGCTTTCCATGAGCGGATCTATTTTAAGCGCCTCGATAGCCGTAATCTCCAGATTCACTTGGCTTCGCTTGCATTTCCACACCCCACTCTCACCAGATCAAGTGGCTACACGATGCTTTCCATGAGCCGTTTCGGAGGCGAGGATCCAAACAGGCCAAACTAGCCCTCCTTCCTGCAGCTGCTGCTGCTGCTGTTGGTACTGCTGCTGCTGGTGCTGTAGCTGGTGCTGCTGTTGGTACTGCTGCTGCTGGTGCTGCTGTTGGTACTGCTGCTGCTGGTGCTGCTTTAGCTGGTGCTGCCGATGGTTTCGCTGGTGTTGCTGATGGTGCTGGTGCTGCTGCTGCTGGCGGTGCTGCTGCAGCGGCTCGTGGCACCACTGCTGCTGGTGGCGCTACTGCTGGTGACAATGGTGTTAATGATGGCACTGCTGCTGCGACTGCTGACGCTGTCACCACTGTCACTATGGTCAATACTGCCGCTACCGCCGCTACTGTGAAGGCTGCTGGAGATGCCAACGCTGCTGCTACTGTCACTATTGCTGATGCTGCTGCTGCTGCTGCTGCTGCCATTACTGCTGACGCTGCCGCTACTGCCGCTACTGTGGAGGCTGCTGGGGATGGCAACGCTGCGGCTGCACCAATGGATAAACCGCCGGCCCTTCATGCTGCTAGCAGTGCAGCCAATACACAGGAGGACTTGATTACAAGCAGGGAATTTCCTGACCAACAGCCTTCAGATCTCGCTGACTTCCGTGCTGCGTTTTCTCATATCCGACCCGACACAGTGTGATTAGACGGGCGGAGTAGTCATTTGTTCATTCTGTCGCTTCCATTCCATTCGCTTGTACATAGCTATACAAAAGTCAAGCATGGTACTAGTTGAGATTGTTGTTGGTTTCTCTTTTATGAAGGATGTTGGAGGCAAGTTGTTGATGCCTTATGAAGGGGCTTGTTATAGATGCCATGCTTTACATGACACGTGCCTGCCACTTCCCTCGCCTCCTCTTCTGCTTCTCTCAACCTCTCACCCAGACCCGCTCTCTCTCTTGAGAACTCTCAAACGCGTTGTGTTGTGATGGCATTCGAAGGAACTTGTTATAGATGCCAATGGCTTCATGCCAGCTTGACACGTGTCACTTCCCTCTCCTCCTCTTGAGGCAGCACAAGGCAGCACTACGGTATGAGCATAAGGCAGCACTACGGTATGAGCATAAGGCAGCACTACGGTATGAGCATAAGGCAGCACTACGGTATGAGCATAAGGCAGCACTACGGTATGAGCATAAGGCAGCACTACGGTATGAGCATAAGGCAGCACTACGGTATGAGCATAAGGCAGCACTACTATGAGCACAAGACACCCACCCGTGATGACACACACCCATCAGGTTGGACCAACAGATTGGCGAGTAGCAGTGTGAACACTGCCTATGGAGGCAAGAGGCATGGCAAATAGGGCTCATGGCAAACAGGGCTCATGGCAAACAGGGCTCATGGCAAACAGGGCTCGTGGCAAACAGGGCTCCTGGCAAACAGGGCTCATGGCAAACAGGGCTCATGGCAAACAGGGCTCATGGCAAACAGGGCTCATGGCAAACAGGGCTCATGGCAAACAGGGCTCATGGCAAACAGGGCTCATGGCAAACAGGGCTCATGGCAAACAGGGCTCTCCCCCGAGCAGCAGAGCGTTTGCCTGATCTATCAGCAGCAGCCCCAGTGTAGCCCCCCAAGGGGCCTCGGTCAGGAGACGTGACACGCAGGAGAGGGGGTTACGGTATTTTCTGTGTCGTAACCCCCTTCTTCTAAGTGAACGCTGCTACGTAGATTTGGGCTGTGTCGTATTCGCTTGAAATTCTACCCAAGAGCAACGAGCCGCTCTGATCCGCACAACATCTCATTCCACCACAGTAAAGTGAAATTTTGTGACACTCACTTAGAGGTTGGGAGGGAGCAGCATTTACAAGCAAAAGATACCCTGTTGCGATGACACTCACTCACCCACTTATGATGAAATTGTGTTGAGGCTAACCCAGTTGCGACGGTGACGCGTAGCAGGTGAAACGTTGCACTGCACAGCACAGCATACAAGATGGTATGCCGAGGTATACGGTACATGGGAAGGTGAAGCAGAGTAGCACATGCGATGCGACAGTGAAGCACAGTGGTACAAGGGATGGCGATGCACCATAAGCACATGGGAGGAAGGTAAAGACAAGTACTGCTTTTTAATATATAAAAAATCAAGTCATACATCATTGCCACCTTTATTTGCCTCGTGGGTAGCTGCTGACAACAGCACACAGCAAGCTAACGGCTCTCTAAGCAAGAGTGCCTACCCACTAGGCTTCATGCATATGCATGGCAGATGCCTCAAAGCGGATCCCTCCATCCCCTCCCCTTCCACCGTCCCCACTGCCCCAATTCTTGTACGTAAGTAGAGACCCCACCCAGGTGGTAGAAAAGCAAAAGACAACCCTACAAATCTAGGGAAGTGTGCTGCTTTTCCCGACTGTGCCGTATCAACAACCCAGCCAGTCCTGATTCTCCACAGTGCAGAGCCGTTTACTCCAGAGCCTGCTTGAGACCGTTGGGCCGCACATACAAGATGCTGTTGCTGTTCCACAGAACGAACTCGAGCGCGTTATTAGCAGCCTCGGTAGGGTTATAGTGGTCCCACCACACGGACTTGGCCGGCTCGTCGTCTTAGGATCGTAAACACCTTAGTCGGCAATAGTCTACTTGCTATTGCTTATCGTGTTCTCCACGATCTCACGAATCCAATGATATGCGCAGCTCTGCTTGAAGTTGTCAATACACACTTCAGCAATTTTCAGAATCTCCAAGTTGTGTTTTCCAGAATGAGTACAAGCAGTTTTATAGTCAAGCAAGTCACAAAATGCGATTCGTAACTTCACTTGTTTCCCAAGTAACCGCGTGCGCCTCGTTTCACCCCGAGTCGCACACGCAACCGAACCGAATTCACCGAACACTCCTTGAGCCCGAATCTGGAAATTTCTCGAACACGCCTTGGTCTCGAACCACATTTTCCCCCGTCGAACTCATTCTCGATTCTTCTCCACTCTTCTTCCTTCATTTCTCCAGTTTCTTCCCGATTTCTCTCCCGCTTTTCACGCCTTAGCTTCCAACGTCCACCGTAGGCCGATTTCTACCGAAATCACTCTAGAATCTCCCACGAGCTCCATTCCGCCGCCATTCCGCATTTCACCGTAGGTTCCGTGGTTGGGCGAACCAACCCTAACAATCTCCCCTGTGGTTCGTCAACCACGAACACCACTCGCACTGTTTTCCTGCTCCTTGTAGCATTCACAGGGTCTAAGTCGGCTTTACGCTCCCCTGCAGCTCCTGCACCTTGAACCTCTGCTTACGTGTCTTGAAGTTGAGCGCCTTGATATCCAAACCATGAGGCATCTTCTTAAGCCTCTCGCTTCTCCTCGGAATCTTAGCACCCAACACCTCTCGGGTCTTGTACCCCTCAACGTGTTCCTCTTTCATAAGCACTCGCCCCTTTGCAGTTGCATTCGCCGTTGATCCCTTCACCATGATGCCCCCTTTCACAGCTTCAACTCCCACACACTTCGCATTTACTGCTTCATCTTTAACCACGACCGCTGCTGCAAAAGTGTTGACACCATCTCCATCTCCATCATTCACCGCTGCTGCCTCCATGGTGACTATCTCTTCTTCCTGCTTCACTGCTGCCTCCACACTCGCTCCCGTATCATCCGTGTCCTCGCTCTCATCAACCTCAGTAGACTCAGGATCCTCATAGATCTCATCCTTGTCGTTCATCGCTATCAAGTTCATCTCATAGAACCCGTCACTGAAGTATCCATCGGCATACTTCTCCCACTCAGGACCAAACACTGTAACCTCGCCTTTGTCATAAAATATCTTGCACCCCAAGTCATCAAGCTGTGACTGACTCATCAAATTCACCTTCAAATCCTCAACCAAGAGCACATTCTCCAGTTTCACCTCTCCATACGGACTTTGCAGCACCACGTCACCCTCTCCTGTCACTGGTAACTTCCCACTGTTACCTTGCAGTATATAACGCTCACTCGACTCCCTCACATTCTCCATCCAATCTGACCTGAATGTCATGTGACGCGTGCATCCGCTGTCCATGAACCATGCCGTCTTCTCACGTCCGTCCGTCTGACGAACATCCTTCGGTAAACGCACCACATTCGCACGATGCGCTCCTCCCAAAATCACATCCTCCTTTTCGGCTTCCGCTACATTCGCCTTACCCGCCACAATCCTGTGCTGCGACGGACCCTTGTAGCTCCTGCTGTTCGGATTGGAGTAGCACTCTGCGGCACGATGCCCATAGCGCCCACAATAATCACACTTGCCGCCAAAACCTCGTTTCTGTTGCCACTCTGCTCCCCCATTTTCTCCTTTCTCGTTCTCCACCGCTTTGCCCTTGTAGTTTCTGCTTCGCGGATTTTCGTAGCAGTTTATCGCCTTATGCCCCCTCTTTCCACACTGGTAGCACGCTCCAAACGCCTTCGTTGCATTCACCAAAGCCGGCCTCTCCTCGTCAAAATCCGTAGCTGCTGCTGCCGCTTTCTTTTTCCTCATCTCCTTCACCGTCTCAAGCGATTGCAGAATCTCCTGCAGCTTCGTCAAACTCTCCGGCGGTTGGTACGTAAACATACCGATGTCGGATTCCCAATCCTTAGGAAGGCCTTGGATGATATAGTCAATCATCTCGTGCTCCGTCTCCGCGGCTCCCATCACCCGCAAGTCGTCGTTGTAGTTTTTCGCCCTGTTGATGTAGGTGATGATTTTCTCGCCTTTCTCCATGCTCAGCATCAGCAGTTGCTTCCTAATCGCCTTCTTGTTGACATCGTTCGTGCCCATGTACGTGGACTCCAGGTACTCCCACGCTTTCTGTGCAGAGTTCAGCTCCCCTGCAAACTGGTCCAAATCCACCGCGATTCCATCGGCAACTGAGTGACAAAGCTGAAAGAACGCTTGCTTACTTTGTTTTTTGAACGCCGCTATTTTCTCCTTCGTATCCGTCGGGGATGGCGCAACTCCCTCCATCGTCTCCTCGTCGGGACGGTAGTACGGCAAGAGGTCAACCTCCTCTGCCCTCCGAATAAACTTCTTCCGCCACACGTTGTAGTTGCTTCCGTTGAAGCGCTGGGCTTCACTGAGCCCGATCGTCGGTTTCGCCACCAATCGGCCACTCGCAAGGGCCTCGAGAAGAGCCTTCAACTGCGGGTCTCCAAGACTCACACTGGAACCCGAACTCGCCTCGTCTCCCATGGCGTAGGCGTGAACGACTCCTCTTCTCCACTAATTTCACTTAGCGCACCAAGTGAATTCACCGCGATCGACGCGCCCGTTCGCCAAGCTCTGATACCAGTTCTTAGGATCGTAAACACCTTAGTTGGCAATAGTCTACTTGCTATTGCTTATCGTGTTCTCCACGATCTCACGAATCCAATGATATGCGCAGCTCTGCTTGAAGTTGTCAATACACACTTCAGCAATTTTCAGAATCTCCAAGTTGTGTTTTCCAGAATGAGTACAAGCAGTTTTATAGTCAAGCAAGTCACAAAATGCGATTCGTAACTTCACTTGTTTCCCAAGTAACCGCGTGCGCCTCGTTTCACCCCGAGTCGCACACGCAACCGAACCGAATTCACCGAACACTCCTTGAGCCCGAATCTGGAAATTTCTCGAACACGCCTTGGTCTCGAACCACATTATCCCCCGTCGAACTCATTCTCGATTCTTCTCCACTCTTCTTCCTTCATTTCTCCAGTTTCTTCCCGATTTCTCTCCCGCTTTTCACGCCTTAGCTTCCAACGTCCACCGTAGGCCGATTTCTACCGAAATCACTCTAGAATCTCCCACGAGCTCCATTCCGCCGCCATTCCGCATTTCACCGTAGGTTCCGTGGTTGGGCGAACCAACCCTAACACGTCGCACACTGATGCGGCGTAGTTCTTGCCTCCCTCCTCCACGGTCTGCCCGCAAGAAATTCTCTCGCCCTTGGGGGTTTCGCCCTGGCAGCAGGGAGTGAGCTTGCTGGTGAAAGCTGCAGGGCAGTAGCAAGAAGGAAATGCAAGGCATGTGAGAAGGGTTGATGAGTACTCAATAAAATGCACACAAAGGTGTGAGCATAAAAGGAGGAAGGAGGAAAAGAGGCATCAGCAGCGAAGTCAAGGCATGGAAACTGCATGAGTATGAAATGCTATGGGGTATGGGGGGGGGCTTACCAGTTCCATCCTTGAGCAGAAGGTTCTCAAATCCGCTCGACATGCGGAAAAGAATCAAATCCTTCACTCCCGCCGCCCGCAGCTTGTCCAGCTTCATCGACAGCGCCTGGTTGTGCTCCGCCGCGATCTGATTGGCCGGCTCGTAGCATCCGGCGGACTCGCTCACGAGACCCTTAGCTAAGCGCACGGCGGGAATGCACCCGAGAGGGGCCAGGTGGTAAACAACAAACTTAGTGGCGCGCGTGGTCTTGAAGAGAACGAGAATCGCGTCGACGATGGCGTTGGTGGTGGACGAGACGAGGTCTGCTGCCGCCTTGTCGCCTCCGTCCCCTAGAATCGCGTCGAGATAGTCGTTGGTGCCGATGCTGATAACGAAGACTGCTGTGTTGAATTTCTGAGGAAAGGTGCAGAGAGGGGTGTGGCAGAGGAGAGGAGGGGGAAAACGGGAGGAGGAGAAGTTGAAGAGTGGCAATAGTGGTGGAGTAGCGAAGTGAGACTAATAGCTGGAAGTCAACAGGAAGTGGGGAAGCGAGGGGGACAAGGAAGGGCAAGAGGTAGGAGGGGTAATAAGAGCGGGTAGTGGGGTCTAGAGATTCAACTCACCATTCCCCTGCGGTCGGCAGCGTACTGGCTGAAGAACTCCAGCTGATGCTGCAAGCTCCACGTCTGGTTGCTGTTGATCCAGGGCTTGGTGCCGGCGCCTGCCGTGGCGAAGCTGGTGCCCTGCTTTGAGACGAGCGACTTGGTGATGTACGGCATCAGGTAGTCGCTGCCCATGTCCTCGGCTGGTAGAATAGGACGAGAAGGAAAGGGGAAAGACAGGGAGCGATTTCTCAAATACCGTCTAGGTCGTCGGTGCCTAGTGGTTCTGAAACGGCAGCGACTTTTAGTCACTCCCCTCGCAGTCCTCGGCTGCGACGAATGCGACGAATGCGAAGAGATGGCGGCACAGGAGTCGTTGTGGGAAGAAAGGCGGACGACCGGCGACAATCAAGGCGCGTCACTCACTGATGAGGTCGATGGTGAGTCGGCCGTTGCAGAACCTGTTGTAGAGGACTCTCCTCTACTTTGCAGGAACTGGGAGTTGTTCTAAACGATAGAGCTCTGTCTTAGCTTTCCAACGAGCCGTCAAACACGTCGATCGCCTAAGTATTCTCCGAGATATAGGCGTTCACGTGCTAGGTGGTGCTCTTGAATGCAAGTAAAGAAGCTCTCTGGAATTTGTGTTCGAATGTACCTTGTACAAAGAACTCTGAGTTTCACTATGATGGCATGCAATACAAAGAAAACAGATTTATAGCATGCAAACAAGATCGAATTGCACAAGTAACCTCGAACCGCTACACTCGCGAATGTTCGAGTAACATCGAAAGGGTGAAATTCGACTCTCGAATTTCACCGATCCGAATTCTCGTTGGGTCTCGAATGTTCCTGGTGCTGCCATGTGGCACCGAATCGAATGGGTCTTCCGAAGTCAATCCTCAACCCCACGCAAACCTGCAACTCACTCGAAGGTGAGCACAAGTCACACATTCGGTGGGTTGGGGGCATACAAACGCCCCACCACCACCTTGCTTCCAACACACGTAATCTCCAACACTCCCCCTTGCACCCAACCCACTAGGTGTGCAAACCAACATGCTCATAGCATGCACGGGATGAATCTTTAGGGGGTGGTTCCATGAGAGATTTCGCGTGTTCATCATCACCCTTGGTTGCGAAGCAAAATGCCGCGCCCTCCTTATCCGTCTCCCCAACGGCTACCGTAGCGTAGTCGTTGTACTTGGAGGGAGGACGAACCTCACGACGCTCGCGGGTCAAGGCCAATGGTAGGGAGGAAGGTGTGGAGGTAGTTGCCGCCTCGGTTGGTGACACCTCCACGACATCATCAATGCTCTCCTCGTTGTTCGCTCCCCCTCCATCGGCTTCCTTCTCCACTTGAGGTGGAGTCTCACTCTCTTCAACCTCCTCTCGTGGCGGAAGGATGAAGGTGAGTTGTTGAGTGGGTTTCTCCTTCGACGGGAACTTGTCTTCATCGAAGACCACGTCCCGAGACGTGACGACGCACTTGTCGCCCAAGTCCCACACTCGCCACGCACGCTCGTTCGCCGCAATTCCCAAGTAGATCGCCGCACGAGCCTTCGGTTGCAACTTGTGGCGAAGGGGATCCGGTACATGGTAGTAGCAAAGGCACCCAAAGGTGCGAAGGCGGGATAGGTTCGGCTTCGTTCCGGTCCATGCTTCGAACGGAGTCATTCCCGGGAGCACCTTCGTCGGCAAACGGTTGCGAATCCACGCCGCTAGCGAACTCGCCTCGCCCCACCACTCGCTCCCAAGCTTGGAGTGTTGAAGAAGAGAACGAACGGCTTCCACCAAAGTGCGATTAAGCCGCTCCGCCGCTCCATTTTGTTGGGGTGTGTAGGGTGTTGTGACGTCGTGCTTAATGCCCTTGCACTTCATCCATTTCTCGAGCTCCGCATTCACGAATTCGCCACCACCATCGGTGCGAATACACTTGATCCGCTTCTTGTCGTCGTCGCAAACTTCGAGCGCCCACTCTTGAATCGCCTTGGTCGCATCTCCCTTAGCCTTCAAGAGTCGGGTCCAACACATCCGCGTCGCGTCGTCGAGCATCACCAAGAGGAACCGCGCTCCTCCCTTTGATGCATGCCGCATCGGTCCACACACGTCCATGTGAACAAGCGCAAGCGGGTCCTTAGCGAGGGGAGAGGTACGGCTACCAAATGGCTTGCGAGCCATTTTTCCTTCGACACACGCCGCGCACACGCCCTTCTCGTCGTCGCCGGCGATCACGTCGACTCCCTTCGCTAGTCCTTTGTTGGCCAACGCCTTGACCGATTCGTAGTTGGCGTGCGCAAGCCGATTATGCCACGCATGGAGAGTCGCCTTGGACCCTTGCGCCACGTTGGAGGAAGCCGCTCTCGGGTGCGTCTTGAGTTGGTAGAGTTCTCCGTTGAGAACGCCTTGTGCGAATTGCTTCCCCTTCCAAATGAGGTTCATCGTCGCGCCATCGATGGTGAACTTCACATCCTTCTTCGCGAGTTGAGTGACGGAGAGTAGATTCACCTTCAACCCCGGGACGTGGAGCACATTCGTGATGTCCACCGGTCCGCCATCGATGATGAGACGCGTACTCCCAACTCCGACCACCGGTAGCGACTTGTTGTTTCCGAAGACGACACGCGTGACGTCTCCCGGTGCACCAACGTTGGTGAGGAACGATGCCGAGTGCGTCATGTGTTGCGTTGCGCCGGTGTCGAGGAACCACTCATCGCTTGGAGTGTTGGTCCCGTCACCGGCCAATAACACGATCGACTCCCTTGTATCATCCGCCTCGCCGGATGCCGTGTGCGCGTTGCCCTCGTGGTTCCGCGCCTTCGATGGAGTCCAATCGCTCGGCCGCTTCCGACACTCTCGCCAAAAGTGTCCCGCTTTGCCGCAATAGTGGCACTTGCTCGCGCCATTCGATGTGTTTCCCTTGCCGCGATCGCTTCCACCGTACGACTTCTTCGTCGCACCCTTGCTCCACTTGGACTTTCCTCCGGAACTCCCTCCGGAGAACATGGCGGTCTCCACGTTCTCATTAGCGAATTGTCGGCGACGCGATTCTTCATGGAGAAGCCGACCGACCACCATTTCCTTCGTCCAAGTGTCTTGCACGCTATCGAGTGTCGTAATCACCGTCGACCACTCTTCCGGAAGGCCGCATAGCAAGGTCAAAATCCAATCCTCCTCCGTGACCGTTCCACCGAGGTCCATGAACGTTTCCCCGAGTTCCTCCACACGAGTCGCATACTCGTGCATCGATTCGCCCGCGCGCATCTTCACCGTGTAGAACGCGTTCCGGGCTAGGATCTTGCCGTGGAGAGTCTTGTTCACGTGGATGGTCTCAAGCCGCTTCCACGCTTCATGCGCCGACGCTTCGAGCTTGATGCACATGCGCACCGAACTCACGAGGTTGATGCCGATGCGCGAAATCAACGTTGTGAACGCCTTTTGGTCCTTCTTCTTCCATGCCGCGATGCCGCTCTCATCGTCCGGCTTCTTCTCCGTTCCATCGAAGTAACCCCAAAGTCCCCGCTCCATCATGAGCACTTGGAACTTAAATTTCCACGCGGAGTAGTTTTGTCCCGTGAAAATCGGTACCGCCGACGTGTCGAACATCGTCGAGGTTGCCCAGGGTTCGCCGGAATTCGAGACGACACCACCTGAGGAAGTGCCGGAGGCTTCGCTTGACGTCATCATGCTTGCTCCTTGTCGCGCGCGTAGACTCCTCCGACCACCTCTGATACCACTGATGTAGAGGACTCTCCTCTACTTTGCAGGAACTGGGAGTTGTTCTAAACGATAGAGCTCTGTCTTAGCTTTCCAACGAGCCGTCAAACACGTCGATCGCCTAAGTATTCTCCGAGATATAGGCGTTCACGTGCTAGGTGGTGCTCTTGAATGCAAGTAAAGAAGCTCTCTGGAATTTGTGTTCGAATGTACCTTGTACAAAGAACTCTGAGTTTCACTATGATGGCATGCAATACAAAGAAAACAGATTTATAGCATGCAAACAAGATCGAATCGCACAAGTAACCTCGAACCGCTACACTCGCGAATGTTCGAGTAACATCGAAAGGGTGAAATTCGACTCTCGAATTTCACCGATCCGAATTCTCGTTGGGTCTCGAATGTTCCTGGTGCTGCCATGTGGCACCGAATCGAATGGGTCTTCCGAAGTCAATCCTCAACCCCACGCAAACCTGCAACTCACTCGAAGGTGAGCACAAGTCACACATTCGGTGGGTTGGGGGCATACAAACGCCCCACCACCACCTTGCTTCCAACACACGTAATCTCCAACAGAACCTGCCCGGAGCTTGTTTGAAGCCGATGCCGTACGGCTCCATGTCAGCCCTCCATCCGGCGGACTCGAGGTGGTTTGTCATTCCCGTGTCCAGGTACTGGTCTCCGAACGCGAACACCTGCGGTGGTCCCACCGTGCTTTTGCTCGAAGACGATTTGCTTGTATCGGAGGTGCTTGTAGCGGAGCTGCTCTTCTTCGCGTCGTCGACTGTGGACGACGCGCGGGCGAGATGGATGGACAGAAGCGCGACGAGCACGAGAGTGACTGAAGCGGAGAACTTCGCCATTGTGACAAGGGTTCTCTTTCAAAGATTAGCTCAAAGGATATTAATCAACAGGCTTCAAGTCTTTCGGACCGGAGTGTCCGAAAAGTCGAAACGCCGAATTAGAAGTTTTACGTTGGATGTTTTAGAGCGGCAAGGACTGATCGATTGAATGAAATGCTGCTAAGCAGCGGCGTATGGAGTTTAATATGCTCAACTAGGCTGAGTATGATGATGCTGTAATATAAAATCAGCAAGCGCTTTAGTAATAAGGAGACGATTGCTAATCCAACTGTGCTCCGTTCACACTTGGGAAGGGCTGATCGTGGTCTGTGGACTCATGGGCAGTCGCAATGCGACTCCCATGGCGGGACGCGCGATTGGAATTCGAGAAGGGGAGGGCGCATTGGCTGGCAGCAGAGAAGGGAAGGGAAGGGAAGGGAACCAGGGGTTGGAGAGGGAGAGGTGGGGCAAACTGGATGAATCTCGCCGCGCATTTGCCAGCTGCCGCAGGCAGAACCGTGTGAGAAATTGTAATGCGATTCGAGTCGCCATGTGTGGAAAGGTGGGCAAATTTGCGCATACCCATGGGCGAAGTATGGGATGGGTTGGGATGGGCCAGGCGGCTCGAGCCAAGTGTTATGTCGAGACGCAGAGATTTGCGATAGACGAGATACATTCTCACGAAATTTGCGATGGAAATTTGGGAATTTTCCGGGGCAACTGGTGTTCTTCTGGAAGTACTGCGACGGCAAGCAAGTTACATGTCGGTGTTCGATTGTTGCTCGCGACGCTGGCTCCCTTACGCAAAACTCCGTGTTCAGTGAGGTGCCCATGAGCTGCCAGCGGGTTGTTGCTCCCTTGACATGGGTTTGATGGTTCTGTATAAAAGCATCCATAACAGCCTACAAGCACAATGTAAAATTTGTTTTGTGGTTACACAATACCATGTGCTCCGATGATGAAGTTGTTTAGTTGATACAGTTCCGTAGAAGAAAGAATGAAGTACATCAATATGCGAGAAGTATACACACAAGAAGTATCCACACAAAAGTGCTACTAGCGTGTTCGACAACAACCATTCAAAGAGCACCAGGCGTATGCACTCTAGAAGATCCTACAACGCTTTTCATGTTTCTCTCTGCTATGTACAGGCGATCAAAGTGCAACACCTGCAGAGGGCAACAGAATGGATAGTCAAATGAGTGAAATCCCCCAAGCGGGTCTGTTACAGCTCAGGGAACTGCAGATGGATCGGTTGCAAGCGGGTCAGGTGCAAGCTGGTCAGGTGAAAGCCGGTCAGGTGCATGCTGGTCAGGTGAAAGCCGGTCAGGTGGTGCAAGCTGGTCAGGTGCAAGCCGGTCAGGTGCAAGCCGGTCAGGTGCAAGCCGGTCAGGTGTAAGCCAGTCAGGTGCAAGCTGGTCAGGTGCAAGCTGGTCAGATGTGATTGGGCTATCTCAAGCTTGACAAGTTAACAAAACAATACATGTGCCACATATGACCAGACCATGGAAGGAGACACAGAAGCAAGGGAGTAGCAAAGCGTGGAAGCAAGGAAACAAGGGAGCACGAATGCAAGGATGAAATGGATGAAGGAAGCAAGGAAAACAGCGTGAAGCGGCACATTGCCAGGTGGATTCCGCAGAACCAAAAGGGAAGATAAGGTAAAGTGGGTAGACTATAAATTGGGAGGGTTGGGAGATAGGGTAGATTGGGCAACTGGGTACAATGGGTGGGTTTTGTGCAAGGGGTAGGCAACGCACCCAAGCAGGACGGCAGGACTTCTCGTAGAGAGACCGTGCGGGCTGACAGCAAGGAGGATACTCCAGTGCCTTGGACTGCGATCGCCGTGAGGAGGGTAATGACGGTGATGAGGGTGATGTGGATGATGGCGGTAGTGTGCTGCTGGCCAGGCTGCCTGCTGCTGCTGCTGCTGCTTCTCCTGCTGGTTGCTCCCGTGGGGCAGCAGCAGTTGCAGCCTCTGCCTCCGCAGCTGGCGCTGCTGCTGACTCCACGCATGCATAGAATGCATCCCGTGCCTGCAGAACGGAGATGGCGGGAAGGGGAAGTGTGGGGGGGGGGAGGAAAGAGTGCGGAGCGGGGATGGGATTGAGCCCAATTACAATGCACAGCTGCTGCTGCTGCTGCTGACTCCACGCATGCATAGAACGCATCCCGTGCCTGCAGGACGGGGGGAGGGGAACGGGGTGGGAGGAGAAGAGTGTGGCGGGGAGGGGGGATTGAGTTGAATTATATGGCACAGCTGGTGCTGCTGCTGACTCCATGCATGCATAAAACGCATCCCGTGCCTGCGAGATGGGGCAGGGGAGGGGGTGTGGGGAGAAAAATGTGGAAGGGGGGGGGGGAGGAGGGGAGGGGGGGGGGGGGGGGGGGGGATTGAGTGGAATTATATTGCACAGCTGGCGCTGCTGACTCCACACATGCATAGAACGAACCCCGTGCCTGCGGGTCGGGGCAGGGGAGGGGGGAAGGAAGGGGAGGGGGCGAGGATTGAGTCGACTCAAAAGGTTATATTGCACAGCTGGCGCTGCTGCCGCCTCACATCCATAATCCGCGTTTCGTGCCTGCAGGACGGGGGGAGGAGGAGGAGGAGACACTGATGAGTCGACCCCAAAGTCTTTTCGCACAGCTGCTGCTGCTGCTGACTGCACTCACGCACGAAGTCGCATCCTGTGATGACGAGGAAGAGGAGAACAACAAAGAGGTTACCGTTGCATGACAGGGGGAGAAGAATATTTGCGCATCTACTACTAAAAAAGAAAATTGCGCAGCAGCCGCTGCTGATTCCGCGCATCTTGTCCCGTGCCTCGAATAGGAGAACAGAATTGGTTATCGTTGCAAGATCAGAGGAGAGAGATAATTGCGCATCGAATCAAGATCAGAGGACATCTCGCACAGGTGGTGCGGCCGGTTCCACATGTGCATAGAGCACACGTAAGTGGTGATACTGTTCGAGCGAGGTAAATAGCCAAATTGCAAGGGTTTTTGGATGAAATATACGTGCCTTATAGCAGCGGTCGCGCGCTGCGGATAAGACGTCCGTTACCACCGCCGATCCCGGCGCCTGTGGCGGCGACGGGCCAGGTCGTTCTGCGTCTGTCGTGGACGAGTTTTCTCCCATTTTAGTCGCGAGATCCGAGCGTCGGCCTTTTCGAGAAGTGCTATAACGCGGATGCAAATGCAGGATTGCTGTAACCGAGTCGGCGAACAGCGAGTTCAACACTGCACGGTGGGAAATTAGAGTGGCGGGAACTGGCTGCAGGTGTTGTACGAGACAGATTATACGCGTTGACAACAGGAATTCGTTTTCAATTCATCATTCAAATAAGTGCATTAACTATACAGAGAACTAGCCCGAATTAAAAGCGTATGTTTGTTCTACCGAAGTGATTCATCGCAATGAGCCATTATCGAATGTCGGTGTGGCACCACCTCCACACGATGCTCTGAAGTTTGTCTACATTCAGCCGCCAATCCACGTGAAGGATTTCGGTCGATTCGCAGGTGAATGAACAAATGCGCAACGTGGCTAATGTGGGAAACTGAGGAACCGCAGCAGGGGAGAAGTTGGCGTCAGCGTCCCCATTTTCCCAGGGAGGTTACACCACAGTTATTAAACTATTTCGAAACGCAGAACACACAACAGTGAGCACATTAAGACATTAGCACTCAGTAAAGTGCCAATGTAATCGACATTGGTAAAATTCACGTGAATTAACCGTGCTACGCCAAGCTTTGCCTACTTTTTCCAACTTTCTACACCTTTACTCTGGAAGCAAACCACCACAGCTGGTTTTCGCATGTCGGACAAAAAGCTGGATGACAGTGGTTTCGAAAGGAACCGACCCCTTTCCCGCCATCTGCCAATGAACCTCGCCTTCCACCTGCAATCCCACCACCCTGTCAAACCCACCCATCTGAAACCATTTGAAACCACCTAACCTACCTGAAATATTTCCTTCCTCCTCTCCGTACAGCCCTTCTGCAGTCTCCCTCACTTTCTCCCCCACGCCTGTCTTATTCAAGAAACCGTTTGAACAAAAACCGCAGAGCTTTTTTAGAAAGTCGTTCTTGACTTTGTAAGACGCGAACCACTACTCTAGACTAGAAAACGCGAGCAGTGCTGTACTAGCCCGACGCCTCGCTATACCCGGTATACGATAACCCAACGCTGTCCTACTCCACCTTGCGTAGTTTTCGTAAACCAAAACGGTATTCGGAGCGTTGCGTGAATCGCGCTGAAGGGACTGAGAGTCGCCAAAGAATCGCGTGCATTGCCAAACTGATCAGGCAGTAAGACGAGGATACTCAAAACGTCAGATAGCCAGCCGGGAATAGACCTGAGAATACACCTGAGCATACACCGCGGACCATAGCTGGAAGTACAGCTGGGAGTATACCCGTACAGCCATGGGTCCGTTTAGGAGCAACAGCCGTTGCGCGCCCGCCGTCCTCGCGCTCGTTACAATCACGTTCGCGACGCTCGCCGCGTCGCCGGCATTCGCGGGGAAGATCAGGCAGGTGTTCGCGTTCGGCGATCAGGCGTTCGATACGGGCATGAGTCGCTTCTTCAGCCAGTCCGTCTGGAAGGCCACAGAGAAGCCTTACGGCCAAGATTGGGGCAAGATATCGGGCCGCTTCAGCAACGGCCGTCTCGTGCTTGACTTTATCAGTGAGTGATTGTCGGAGAGTGGTTATACAAATGTGACTGTCGCCAGCGCTCCGCACGGGTATGAGACGCGTTTGACGCCGGAATCGTCGCCGCAATCGTCGCCACGACCTTCGCCGCAGGCTTCCCCGAGCCTCTCGCATGCCACCGCATGCGGGCCCTGTCGACGCAACTCCCTTCCGTCGTTTCCCCACTTCCGCAATTTTCCCCCTTTCCGACATTTCCCCCCTTTCCGACATTTCCCCCTTTCCGCCATTTCACCCCCTTCCGCCATTTCCCCCCTTTCCGCCATTTCTCCACCTTCCGCCATTTCCCCCCTTTCCGCCATTTCCCCCCCTTCCACCATTTCCCCCTCTTCCCCATTTCCCCCTATCCCCCTCTTTTTCCCTCCCCCCCTCTTTTTCCCTCTCCCCCTCTTTTTCCCTCTCCCCCTCTTTTTCCCTCTCCCCCTCTTTTTCCCTCTCCCCCGCATCTCTCCCCCACCTCCAGCGTTCCGCCTGGAACTCCCGAGTCTCTTCGCGTGCCATCGCAAGCCGCTCGTGTCGAAACTCATATGCGATCACCACCATTCCGCCTTTTTCCCCCTTCCCCACCCCCAATCCTCCCTCCTCCCGCACCCCCCTCCCCCTCCTCCCCTTCCCCCTTGTCCCCCACCACCCCAGCGTTCCGCCTGGGTCTGCCGAGCCTCTTCGCGTACCACCGCAAGCCGCTCGTGTCGAAGCAGGGAACGAGCTTCGCGACTGCCGCGGCTGGCGCGCGAAACTGGGTGTACGCGGGGAAGGTGCGTGTGAGAGTGTGACTGTAGCCACGTGATAAAAGGGAGTTTTTGAGACGTCTCAAAAACTCCCTTTTATCAACTGGGTGTATGTGGGGAAGGTGCGTGTGAGAGTGACTGAAATGAGTGGAAGGGGTAGTAGTGTGATTATATCGAGGGTAGAAAGAAGCAGTGAGCGACAGATGCGCTGCCTGGCGCAGATATCGTACATGCGTGAGAGTGCAAGGACACGCCTTCGCCACAGCTTGAGCCTCGAGGCTTCATCACCCCTTCCCACCCCTTCTCCACCCCTTCCCACCCCTTCCCACCCCTTCCCATCCCTTCTCAACCCCTCCCCACATCCCTTCCCTTTGCAGACGCGCAGCCTGCAGACGCAGATAGCGTGCATGCAGGAGCACAAGGACAAGCGCAACTCGAAGCTTCACCACCCCTTCTCACCCCCCCTTCCCATCCCTCCCTTTCCAGACCCGCAGCCTGCAGACCCAGATAACGTACATGCAGGAGTACAAGGACAAGCGCAAGAACAACCCGCCGTTTCATCACCGCTTCCCATCCCATTCCACCCGTTTCCATCCCCTTTCCCCCGTCCCCATTCCTCTCCAGACCCGTAGCTTGCAGACCCAGATAGTGTACATGCAGGAGTACAAGGACAAGCCTTCACCCTCAACTCACTCCTTCTCACCCCTTTGCACCCTTCCCATCCCCTCCCATTTCAGACCCGCAGCCTACAGACCCAGATAGCGTACATGCAGGAGTACAAGGACAAGCGCCAGAACAACCCGCAAGTGGTGAGATGAAACGGCGGGTGGTGAGATGAAACGGCGGGTGGTGAGATGAAACGGCGGGTGGTGAGATGAAACGGCAGGTGGTGATGAAACAGCAGGTGGTGAGATGAAACGGAAGGTAGTGAGATGACACGCCAGGTGGTGATAAGAAACGGTAGGCAGTGAGATGAAACTGCAGGTGGTGGGATGAAACGTCAGGTAGTGCAATGTGACGGCTGCTGGTGAGATGAAACGGCAGGCGGCCAGATGAATACCCTTCCATACACTTCTATATTCCCTTGCTCACCCCTCCCAAATGCCCCTTTCTTCTTTCCCAAATGCCCCTTTCTTCTTTCCTAAATGCCCCTTTCTTCTCTCCCAAATGCCCCTTTCTTCTTTCCCAAATGCCCCTTTCTTCTTTCCCAAATGCCCCTTTCTTCTTTCCCAAATGCCCCTTTCTTCTTTCCCAAATGCCCCTTTCTTCTTTCCCAAATGCCCCTTTCTTCTTTCCCAAATGCCCCTTTCTTCTTTCCCAAATGCCCCTTTCTTCTTTCCCAAATGCCCCTTTCTTCTTTCCCAAATGCTTGACCAATCACTGATTCTGACCTGCACCAGAACCAACGACTATGTGTCAGCCATTCCCTTTTTCGGCCCTCATCCCCACTCTCTCCTATCCCTTTTGTTCCCTCCCTCCCTCCACCCCTCCTTTCCTGTTGTACATTTCGCAGATGCTTGACCAATCGCTGATTATGATTAGCGCGGGAACCAACGATTACGTGTTGGCGCTTCTCGGGCAGTCGGGCGGGCAGAGCGTGGAGCAGGTGCTGTCTGCTACTACAGGAGCGATAGTCAAAGCAGTGCAGGTGAGTCAAGAGAAGTCAACGCGAGTCAATGGGAGTCAACGGGAGTCAACGGGAGTCAATGGGAGCCACAGCAGTGGGACTGGCAGAGTGTGGAGCAGGTGTGGTCTGCTACGACAGGGGCGATAGTCAAAGCTGTGCAGGTGAGTAAGACCACCAATCCTAACTGGCGCTGATGAAGGCCTCACAGGCCGAAACTCGTAAGCCTACTTAGTACTTTTACTTTGAGACTTATCAAGTCCTTATTCATACCTTGTTCCTAGTCCTACAAAGCAACCCACCATACTTAGCTGAAAGTTTTAACGGCGACCACACGGTTGGCTTGCTGCGGTTCGAATCCTTCCTACTCTGCAAAGCTGTGGAGGTGAGTAAGACCACCAAGATCGTTGTTTCCCACGGTCCCATACCACCTATCCCCCCCTCTCGCCACTTCCCGCCTCTCCCCATCCCAGGATCTCAACGCAACGACCAAGACCACCAAGATCGTGGTCTTCAACGTTCCCCCCTCGGGTGCATCCCTGCTGTTCGCTACTTCAAGAAGGCTCCCTCCCTTCTACTGGGGCTGCACTCTCCTCACCGCTCTCCACCCCTCCCTTTCCCCTCACCAGGACCTCAACGCAATGACCAAGACCACCAAGATCGTGGTGTTCGACGTGCCGCCTCTCGGCTGCATCCCAGCCGTTCGTTACTTCAAGAAGACCCCCGCGGGGCAGTGTGACGCGGCAGCGAATAAGTTAGCGGACCAGCACAACACAGGCGTGAGGGCAAAGCTGGACAAGCTGAGGCAGCAGGGGGTGACCAATTTGATACTCTTCAAACAGAGCACCGTGTACCGAGTCAAGGGCACCACTGCAGGTGGGGGGCCATCGGGTGGGGTTGTGTGCGGTTGTGTGCGGTTGTGTGCATGTGTATGAGGCAACGAGCAACAAGATTTCCAACCAGCACAACACGGGCGTGAGGGCAAAGCTGGACAAGCTGAGGCAGCAGGGGGTGACCAATTTGATACTGTTCAAACAGAGCACCGTGTATCGAGTCAAGGGCACCGCTGCAGGTGGGTGTGTCTGGTTGTGTGCGGTTGTGTGTGGTTGGGTGCATGTGAGCAACAAGCTAGCAGACCAGCACAACACGGGCATGGGGGTGAAGCTGGATAAGCAGGGCAGGGTGGTTGGGTGTTTGGGGTGGGGAGAGGGGAGGAGGGGGGGAGAGGGGAGGAGGGGGGGAGAGGTTGTGGATGTGCGTGGCAGTGTGAGGAAGAGGAAGAGTTGTGGATGTGCACATTCAGTCTTCCGCGACAATGTTTGTGTGTGCACATTCAGTCTTCCTCATGCCTCCCCTGCTCCTCTTCCCCTCCCCTCCCCCCCCCCCTCCCTCCCTCCCCTCCCTCCCCCTCCCTCCTCTTCCTTTTGCTTGCCACCAGGTGGTTTCATTGACAAGACGTCGGTTTGCTGCGAGGGTAAAACACCCAGCGGAAAGCTGATAGCCTGCGGGCAGACAATAAAAGAGGGTGGTAAGAGCTACAGTGCTACGGCGTGCAAGGACCCGACTAAGTACGTGTGGTGGGACTGGTACAATCCCACAGAGGCATTTAATGAAGTGCTGTCAGGGATTTTGTGGCACAGCAACAGTGTCTCGTATGTTTCTCCTTTCGGCCTCAAGTCTATTGTTGACAAGTAGAGGAGAGATAAGTGGGGTAAAACATGATTGGAAATAAGGCCCTTATGCGCTTCTGTTAGAGATGCAATGGGAGATTGCAGCTTCTGTAACTCCGTACTAATTTCATATGTATAGAAAAAAATCCACTTTTTAGTGGGCCGGAAAGGATAATATGATGTGTGATTCTAATTTAACGGTACTCATAACCAAGTAGTCTGTAGTACACTTGTAATGCTGGCCTACCCTGAATGAAGCACTTCTTAGAATAAGATTTGCTGCACCACAGCCTCCTGGAAAATGTCATTTCCTCAACGGACCACAATGTCCTGTCAAGTGACAGGAAGGATTCTCGCGACCTGTCCCCTCTTTCCCCCCTTCTCTCCCCCGCTCCCCCCTTTCTCCCGCCCCCGGCTCCTCCGCTCCCTTTCCCCCCATTTCCCCCCTTTCCCCCTCTCCCTTCCCCTCCCTCTCCCAGTCTGCTTGTTCTCTTCTAGATTTCGCCACCCATCCCGTCCCGTCCTCCGCTGCTCCTCTACTCTCCAACTGCTCCCTGCACCGCGAGTCGCGACAGCATCCATGGCGGCATTCTTCAGGCACATCATGTTTCTGTCGTCGGATAGTGCCGCAGGGAGGTTTCGAAATCCCCGTTCGCTGACGTCACCAGGTCAACATCTATTTTCGTGCCAATAACCTCTGCTTACGATTTTAAAAAATCCATTTCCGCCTTGGTTGGGCATTCCACCTCACGTCCTGTCAAACACGCTTGTTTCTCAACGCGAAGATCGCACTCCACAGTATTTATTGTCGCTTCCGCTTTCCAGCCTTGAGTTGAGAGTCGACAGGATCCTGTCCCGTGCACTGAACGTCAGTAAAAGTCCCTGTCCAGTCGCTGACCCCAATCCAACCTGTCCCGGCTATAACCCTAGGCTGTCCCGAAACTGTATTAATGGAGTCTTCTAGGAGAATGTTACATATGGGACCTTCAAGGTTTACTTTGGGCTGTGTCGTCAATCTGGCATTGGCCAAATCTATCTCGGAATGCTCTTTTGCTTCAGTTGAGCTGTTGTCCCAAAAGTGTCAAGGGGACTCCATCGGAAGACATTGGGGACGTGACATTATTGAAATCAATCGTAGGCGCTTCTTCGTGATAGCGCTTACCAGGCGACGATCTTCGATTCGTTTCAAACTCGGGTTCAGCGCAAATGGTGGCGTCGCTATCTGTACACGGCTTTGGGACGAGCCGGCGGCTGTCAACAATTATTTTGCTTGCAGCCGTCGTTTTTACCGCCTCGCGAATAGCGGCTGTCTCGGCACAATTATTTTGATGCCATACTCCATATTAAGCTATATTATACTGTTATTTGTTATCCAAATCCTCGCTCGTTCTACTATCTCCGAAGTCTGGAACCTGACTTTGGTAGAAGGTAGTAGAACGAGGCGAAAAAAAATCTCTAACAAAGGCTGCGCTAGAGGAATCAGAAGAAAGCGTTAAGCTCGCGGTGTGAAATGAGTATGTTGACTCGTTCGAAGTGTGACAGTATGAAAGCGTTGATGTCGCGGTGTGATAGTATATTTCGTCCCTCTCTCAATAATATACGCTCCATGAAATTATGATCATAATATGCTACGTCTGTTCCAATCCCCGCTCTTCTAGCCTTACCTTTTTTTTCCGGTTCCTTCTACCAACCCTATTAGGACACACTCCCAGGGGTGACCCCTGCCATCCAAGTCCACTGAGAAACTGTTTTCGGTGCCAACAACCCCCTTTCTTGTTTCCAATGCCAACCCCACACCCAGCGCGCGACCTTTGTGCGAATAACGCGTGTATCAACGGCACATGCAGCTGGGACGGCCAGTTCACGAGCGAGAGTGGGTACGAGGCCCTCACAAACCCTCTTTCTTGTTTCCAATGCCAACCCCACACCCAGCGCGCGACCTTTGTGCGAATAACGCGTGTATCAACGGCACATGCAGCTGGGATGACCAGTTCACGTGCGAGAGTGGGTACGAGGCCCTCACAAACCCTCTTTCTTGTTTCCAATGCCTACCCCACTCCCAGCACGCGACCTTTGCGCGGGTGACGCGTGTATGTATGGCACATGCAGCTGGGACGGCCAGTTCACGTATACGTGCTCGTGCTATAGTGGGTACGAGATCATCAGCGCCTGGACGTTCATGGAAGGGAACAACGTCACCGGGCAGGCGTGCGTTTGTTAGTCCGTGTAGCTGAAACAGTGACTGTACTGAGACACACACTAATGCTATAGTGGGTGCAAGGCCATCATCACCTCGTTGATCATAGAAGGGAACAACGTCACCGAGCAGGCGTGCGTTTGTAAGTCCGTGTAGCTGAAACAGTGACTGTACTGAGACACACACTCTTGCCATAGCGGGTGCAAGGCCATCATCACCTCCTCGTTGATCATAGAAGGGAACAACGTCACCGGGCAGGCGTGCGTTTGTAAGTCCGTGTAGCTGAAACAATGACTGTACTGAGACACACACTCTTGCTATAGCGGGTGCAAGGCCATCATCGCCTCCTCGTTGATCATAGAAGGGAACAACGTCACCGGGCAGGCGTGCGTTTGTAAGTCCGTGTAGTTGAAACAGTGACTGTACTGAGACACACACGCCTGCTATAGCGGGTACAAGGCCATCATCACCTCCTTGTTAATCTTGGCAGGAATCAACGTCACCGGGCAGGCGTGTGTTTGTAAGTCCGTGTAGCTGGGACGGTGACTGTATTGAAGCGCGCTCACCCTGTATCGAGTACACGGCTATCGCCAAGTGGGTGGATGTGGCTGGCATGATCATTTTTAGGCAAAACATTTTTGTGTACTACCGTATCTAGCATAACTATGTAGAGAGTCGTTGTGGTAAGACTCGTTTTTTATGTTGATGTTGTATCGTCTTTTCATTTTCTCTCATGGCACTCAGAGCTCTGAGATTGGACGAAGCTTACATTTTTCTGTTCCGCCCGCCTTACACTCCCTCGCTCCGTCTCGCCTCGCCTGCCTTCTGTCCTCTGTCTGTCTCGCATGTCCGAGCCTCTTCCCGCATGTCCGAGCCTCTTCCCCCATGTCCGAGCCTCTTCCCCCATGTCCGAGCCTCTTCTCCCCAAGTCCTAGCATCCTCCCCCATGTCCGAGCCTCCTCCCCCATGCCCGAGTGACCCAGTAATTGAATCGCTCCAGTGCTTTTTTCAGGCGCCTAAAAAATCCCCCCCCCCCCCCCCTGTAAGAACCACTAACCACACGTTCTGTCCTCTCCACCCTCCTTTCACTTCACCCCACTCACGCACTCTCTGCTCTTCACCCAGTGTCCTTCCTCCTCACTCACCTCCCCTGTCTCACCCTTTTTAGTTCTCCCCTGTCCTTTATACTTGTATTCCCTTCCCCCCCCTTTTCCCCCTCTTCCCCTCTTCCCCCCAGCTCCCAGCGAGGCTGCTCGCTACTCCTCCCGCTACTCCTCGCCCTCCCCTCCTTCCTCCTCTTCCTCGAAGGGCCTCTCAACGGGAGCAGTGATAGGCATAGTGGTGGGCGTGCTGCTGCTGCTGGGGGGAGTCGGTCTCTTTCTCTAGTTCAGGCATAAGAGCAAGACCAGTGGGGCTGATAAGCCTGGCCAGGCGTATGGTGGATTTGGGGCGGCGGCAGTAAGGGGCTGATGTGGAGGTGAATAGGGGATATGCGGACCCGTATTATGCGGGTGGGGGGAGTGGTGGGGGAGGCGGATGGGGGAGCGGAGGGGGAGGCGGATTGGGAAGCGGAGGAGGGAGCGGGGAGCAATATCAGCAGCAGCAGCAAGCAGCGGCCTTCCAATCACTGCCGTCCGTATGTCAGCAATTCGCCCTTGCTGACCTGGCATGGGCAACCGATGACTGGGCGGAGAGCAACCGCATTGGCAGCGGCAGCTTTGGTGACGTGTACAGGGGCGTGTGTCCCTTATAACCTTCTGTGATGTGGGCTGTGAAGAGGTCTCGCATTCTCACCAAGGACTTTCAGAGAGAGGTGAGCTCTCTTCACCCAGTAGCACCGGACTGCACCCAGTTTGAAACGTCTCAACACGTGACGTCTCCACGTCTCAATTCGGCTATTGCATCAACATGAACCCAGCAGCACCGCACTGCACCCTTAATCCCCTTTCCTCCCCTTCCCATCCATCTCCAGGTGGCAGCCATGGCGACAAAGCACCATCCCAACCTCGTCCGTCTGCTGGGCTACTGCATCGACATGAACCCAGCACCCCTACTCCCCTTCCGCCCCTCCCTTCCTCCCCCACCCCAGGTGGCAGCCATGGCAACAAAGCACCATCCCAACCTCGTCCGTCTGCTGGGCTACTGCATCGACATGAACCCAGCACCCCTACTCCCCTTCCGCCCCTCCCTTCCTCCCCCACCCCAGGTGGCAGCCATGGCAACAAAGCACCATCCCAACCTGGTGCGTCTACTGGGCTACTGCACTGACATGAACCCAGCAGCGCAGGGCAGGGGAGACCTGAGCATGGAGCAAATAGTGGTCTACGAGTTCATGTCCCATGGGGACTGCAGCGGTGGGTGGGGGAGGGGGCGGCACAGCCGCTGCCGATGGCACAGCGGCTCTCTGTTCTCATTGGTGCGGCCAATGGGATAGGGTATCTGCACAGCTTTGGCATCGTGCATGCATCGCGACATCAAGCCTGCAAATATCCTGCTCGATGGCAAGTTTGAGGTCAGCATGAAGGCACGACTGTGAGAGGCACTCGCATCACGACTCGGCCTCCTTTACTCATGGGCACACCCTTGCTCTACCTCCCTTCCCTCAAATCGCCCCACATCCCCTTTCCCTGCACCCCCCGCCAGGCCAAGGTGGCAGACTTTGGGCTGCTGAGGCAGAACGAGGGCACGACGGTGGGAGACACTCACATCACGGGCACACCGGGCTATGTGGACCCCGCTTACTTCAAGTCCAACAAGGCCACTCCCATGGCCGATGTGTACAGGTACAGAGCGGTGCAGTGCGGTACAGAGCGGTATTGAGCATTACGGTGCGGTGTAAGTGGTATTCTTTGTGAGGAAGAGTGCGTGGGAGTGATGGGCACACCGGGCTATGTGGACCCCGCTTACTTCAAGTCCAACAAGGCCACCCCCATGGCCGATGTGTACAGGTACAGAGCGGTTCAGTGCGGTACAGAGCGGCATTGAGCATTACGGTGCGGTTTAAGTGGTATTGTTTGTGAGGATGAGTGCGTGGGAGTGATGGGCACACCGGGCTATGTGGACCCCGCTTACTTCAAGTCCAACAAGGCCACCCCCATGGCCGATGGGTACAGGTACAGAGCGGTTCAGTGCGGTACAGAGCGGTTCGGTGTGGTACAGAGCGGTATTGAGCATTGCGGTGTGGTTTAAGTGGTATTGTTTGTGAGGAAGAGTGCGTGGGAGTGATGGGCACACCGGGCTATGTGGACCCCGCTTACTTCAAGTCCAACAAGGCCACCCCCATGGCCGATGTGTACAGGTACAGAGCGGTGCAATGGAGTGGTACCAAGTGAAATGCGGTACCGTGTTCGGTTGAGCCGTACCGAGTGGTGCAAACCGGTGTTTTCCTGTAAGGACCGCATGGAAAATATGGGAATTATGGCCACATATATTTCAAATTCACAAGGCCACCCCCATGGCCGATGTGTGCAGGCACAGAGCGGTGCAGAGCGGTACAGCAGTGTATTGAGCAGTGCAAGCTGGTGTTGTTTGGTAAAGAAACACAGCCCATCAGTACACGTATTTCACCTATCCCTTGCCCTTTTACCCTCTCCATTCTCATAACCATCTTCAATCTTTCCACTATTTCCGGGTGCAAGGCACTCAAGGCGGATAGCTTTTTAGTCGACTGAACCACGCACTCAAGGGAGATGGATTTTAAGCTGACCCTACCGCTCTCCACTCCTTTCCATTCCCTCTCACCCCTCAGCTTTGGCATCCTCATTCTGACCACAATGTCGGGCCGCAATGCTCTCAAGGCAGACGAGAATGGCTACAATTTCAATGTGGCGAAATGGGTGAGTTGACCATTTTAGCGTGGGGAAATGGGTGAGTTGACCATTTCAGCGTGGTGAAATGGGTGAGTTGACCATTTCAATGTGGCAAAATGGGTGAGTTGACCTTTTCAATGTCAGAAAATGGGTGAGTTGACCATTTCAGCGTGGCGAAATGGGTGAGTTGACCAATTCAGCGTGGAAAAGTGGTTGTGTTGACCTTCTCAATGTCAGAAACTGGTTGAGTTGACCATTTCAGCGTGGGGCAATCTAAGATGGGGATATGGGTGAGATCTGAAATGGTTGTGTACATTCATGATCTTGGTCTTGCAGCTTCAAGAAAATATCCTGAGATTGAGTTTAGAGTGATTACACTGGGATGATAGACTTGCCTGCATTGTTCAACCACCATTCCAAACAACCACCACCGTTAGGAGTTTAGAGTGATTCAGCCTGTTGGCTTCCTCCATTGGTAACCACCGTTCATTTGTTAGGGTGGCAAATCTGCATCTTGCCCACCCCGCCCCCCCCTTCCTTCCTTCCCGGCCCATGTGAACCCTCCCTCCCCGTCCAGGCAAAGGCATTAGTTGCGGCTGGCAAAGCAGAGGAACTGAAAGACCCACAATTAGATGCTCCGGTGGGTTTGATTCTGCGGCTGGCACAGCTGGCGCTGCGCTGCACGGCCACGCCGACCGTGTCTCGTCCTGACATGGTGCAGGTGGTATCTGAGCTGACTGCACTCAGGAAGGAATTTCTGGGGGAGGTGTCATCTAGGATGGCTGAGAGGATAGATGAGGAGGTGGAGTCCCAGAGGGTCGGGAATTTTGATGCGGAAATAGAGAGGATTGAGAAGCTTGCGAACAAGAATAGCACCAGTTCAATGCGCATTCGTTAAAGCCGTTGGCCCAAATTGCACAAGTTTTAAAAGGTTGACGCGGAGGAGTTCAGTTTTTTGGGTTGTGGCGAGAGGATATCTTCGTCAATTTCGTATTTTTCGTAACACACAGCCAAACCTCGACTTCCCCCTGGTGGGAGCTCGAAAGTCCCAAATTGCAAGTGTGCTTCTTTCAAGTTTTCAAGCTCCTCACCTTCAAGTTTTAAAAGCTTGACCCGCGCGCCTCGCAATTTGGGACTCGGGCTTTAAGGGGTTGGACTGAAGCAGTACAAACATTCTCTATCTGTAGGTTTCAATCAAAGGTTAAAGCCAGCAGCTAAAATAGTGTTACGTTGTGTTATATACCCTGCTTGCTATGTGTTCTAGTGTAGCTACAGTAACTTGGTGGTGCATCACTGTGCTCACTTTCCCTTGAACTATATCATGTATCTTGCTCATTAGTGTAATCCCACTTCCTTCCTTCCTGTTTCTCTCGCTCACGCTACTCTCTTAACCCAAAACCCTAGTCTACTAAGGTTACTATTCTAACATGGTACAGAGCAGGTTCCTCTGAAGGACCTACGGTAATCTTTTTTCTTAAAGGCATGGCTGCTGCAGCACCCGCTAAGGCGCTCTGGCGCCTACCCGTCCCGTTCCGTCGCGCCTGCTGCCCTGCCCGTTCGCCGCGGCGCCCGATTCCCATCGCCGCGGCGCCCGATTCCCATCGCCGCGGCGCCCCTAATTCCCGTCGCCGTGGCGCCTGCTTCCCATCGCCGCGGCGCCCAGCGTTCCGTCGCTGCGGCGCCCCCCTTCCCGTCGTCCGCGGCCCCGTTTCGTCGCCCCGCGCCCCCCTTGCCCACCTTCCCTTGCCCTATATCTTGCTTCTCTCTCTATAGTCAAACCCCTTCTTTGTTGGGCAACTCCCTCTATTCCTAAAACCTAAGTTTCTCCTAAGCCTACTATCTTGACATGGTTTCAGAGCTACTACAGTCTAAGGATCATGGGCCCACTCGTCACGCAGCCGGATGCGCCCCGCGCACAGCTCGTTTTGCTCTGCGGACATCCCGTTTTACCCCGCGCGCAGCCCGTTTTTCCCGCGCGCGGCCCGTTCTGCCACGCCCCCCCCCCCCCCCCTCGTCGCCCCACGGTCCGCGCCAGCACCAGCGCCAGCCCCTGCGACTGCCGCTAGCACAAGCGCGGAACGCCAACACCTACATCAGACGCGAAGCGCTAGCGCCTGCGCTCGCGCGGACGCCAGCGCCAGCAGCTCCGTACGCCGCCCTCCTTCCCTTCCGCGGCTTCTGCCGTGGGGGGGGGGGGAGATGTGGGGGTGGCGGGGGTGATCAGCCAGCAGCCTGTCCCTCCCCTCTCTCTTCCTGCAGGGCTTGTCGCCGTGGAGAAGAGGGGGGGGGGAGAAGTGGAAAAGGGTGAGGGGGTGGCGGAAGTAGAAAGGTGCGGAGGGTGTGAGGTTCAAAGGGTTGAGTGATGTTGGGCTGAGAAAAGCCCTTAGGATCTTTGCAAGGCTTAACTCAGAGTAGGAATGTTGCACTTGCAGAAGCGTTTTTTATAAGAAGTATTGAACCACCTTGCGCTAGTATGTGAGGGCAAAGTAGATTGATTAAAACAAAGAGATACAAGGTTTTATAAGAGTACAAGGAATATGAAGAGATACAGCTAATAACCATTTTACTGTTGCTGTTGCGGTTCGATACAGTGACGACTCGGGCAACTGCTCAATAACGAGTCAGTTGTTTGTCCTTGCTGTCGCGCTGTACTTTGTCAGGTCAAAAGTCGCTGACCTTTGACTTTCCCGTAACCTCCAGCAGTTGCTTTCCTTCTCAACCTCCAATGGTTGACTCGCCGATGCTTCGTTTGTGCTTTGCTTCATTTACGACTTAGTGTTTCAACATGACAGAAGCGCTTAAATTACTTGTTTCCAACACTCCCCTTCGCTTCTGGAGTGTCGTTGCTGGTGACGTGGCCTTGTCCAGTCAGCAGCATGTAGTACTCGAACTTCTGCTTTCCGAGCTTCTTGGTCAAGTAATCAGCTGCCATCTCGGACGTAGGGCAGTAGGACAGTTCGAGTCTCTGTCAGTAGATCTGCACTGTGGATGCCCGATTGATCCTGGAGAGGGTTACAGGCGCGTTCGCCTGGGGGGTTATGGGCGCACTGACCCGCTACTGAAACAAGCCCTTTTATCCCAATGGTCTAGTGGTTGGGATTCTGACATGGTATCAGAGCGGTCTCGGGTTCGATTCCCGGTGTATGCACATGTAGGCCGTTGCCGCTGTGCTTAGTCCTGGGCCTCCCAGTGTGGGGGGGTGTCAGTAGATCTGCACTGTGGATGCCCGATTGATCCTGGAGAGGGTTACAGGCGCGTTCGCCTGGGGGGTTATGGGCGCACTGACCCGCTACTGAAACAAGCCCTTTTATCCGTGGTTGGGATTCTGACAGTCTCCCCTTCTCGATTTCGTCCTTCACAAAGAAATATCGCAGTGCGATGTGCTTCGTCCTATTCGCAAATCCGCTCTTGTTTGCTATGCGGATTGCTGACTGATTGTCGCAAAACAGGGAGAAGTTGGGTAACTGGGCCAGCTTCGCTTCTTCCATTACTTCGCGAAGGTACAGTCCTTCCTTGGTGGCTTAGCAGAGTGCGATATATTCTGCTTCAGCTGAAGAGAGAGCAATTAGTTCCTGCTTGCTCGACTGCCACGAGATGGGCCCGATAGGCTCAAGTCGGTAGATGTAGCCGGTGCGCGAGTGCCTGTTGTCAGAATCGTCGGCGTGATCAGCGTCGACGTAGCCGATTAGCTTAGGCGTTGTAGTTCCGGTCTTGTGGTAGGTTAGTCCGACCGTCGGGGTGCTGACGAGGTAGTGCAGTGCGCGATCGAGCTCCGCTGTGTGCTCTGCTTCGGGTTTCTTGAGGTAGGTGGCGAGTTGGCTTGCGGAGTACGAGAGGTCCGGTCGGCAGGTGACGGCTGCGAAGAGCATACATCCTAGCTTTCGTTGGTAGTCGCGTATACCGGCGGGCTTGAGCAGAGCGGAGGCTTCCTTGTGACTTCCGGCGGTGTAGTGATATGGTAGTTGGGGTGGGTCCGAAGTGCTTAGCGATGGTGTCGGCGTATTTCGCGGCGCTGAGGTAGATCGCGTTTTCTTCTTGGATGTTGAGGCCGAGATATTGTGTTACGATAGACGAAACCGTGAGCGTGAGGTCCTGCTGCAGCTCCCCTTCGAACCAGGTCGTGATGCCGTCGGTCGAACCGATGTAAAGCAGATCGTCTACGTAGACGATGAGTAGAATATAGTCAGTGCCCTTCGTGAGTCGGTACATGCCTTGGTCGTGTGGTAGTCGGCGGAATCTGATGCGAATGAGTCGGGCGCGTAAGTACTGCTACCACAGTCTCGGGGCTTGCTTAATACCGTACAGTAACTTCAGCAGCTGACAGACTTGGTTGGGATATGCGTTGGAGCCGTGTGGCTGCTCGACGAAGATCTGAGCGTCAACAGGTGCGTAGAGGAAAGCATCGGCGACGTCGATTTGCCGTAGCTTCTTTTTCTTCATAGCTGCTATCGCGAGGAGAATCGGCAGTGAAGTGTGTCGGCTAACCGGCGCGAATGTCTTGGTGAAGTCGCGTCCGTGCTCTTGATCGAAGCCGCGTACCACCCAGCGCGCCTTGAACTTGTCGATGGTGCCATCTGCTTTGGTTTTCACACGGAAAACCCATTTTCCGGTGAGTACCGTTTTGTTACGAGCCACGCCAATGGGAAAAAAATTCCAGGTGTTCCGCTCTTCCAGCGCCTTTAATTCCTTGTCCATGGCTTCGTGCCATTTTTCCCTGTGCTCCCCCCCCAGAGCCTGCTGAACTGTGGCAGGCTCCTTAGGTGGCGCCGAGCCGTGGACTGCGGTGACGAGGCCAAGTATCTGCAGTCCGCTCTGTGTGTAGCGGGGAAGAGTTGTGTCCTCGGGATAAGCTGCTTCATCACCTTCTTCTGGATCAGGTAAGAAGTTGGGTCCTATGCGTTCGGCTTTGTTGGTGTTGACTCGGGCAGGTGTAACGTAACCAGTGTCGGCAAAGTCGTAGAAGACTTCGGCGTTGATGCTCTCGCGAGGGTTGTCGTCGTCCATTGGAATGTCCACCGAGCAGTAGGGAAGGGGTCCGGCTTCTTCTGAAGCTCCGTCCATGGTCTGCTCGTCCAGGTCAGCTTCATCTTCTGCCGAAGCGAAAGCTCGGTACCCACGAAATCCGCCTGTGACATCCCGTGAGGTTTCCAGGTTGTACAGGTACGTTGGAAGGGTGAGACGTTCGTAGAAGATGACATGCGTTGTAATGTTTTTCGATGCCCAGGTGTAGTCCCCATTGTGCACGCTGGGAGAATCGACCGGCGCGTGCTGCTGGGGGTCGGTACTGTACCATGCAGCCGAACACTCGTAACATTTTCGTGTTGCCCAATTTCCCTGTCCACAGCAGATGCGGTGATGCGTTGTTCGGGAGCGATGATGACGAAAGCAAGTTGTGCAGTAGGACAGCATGGTCCATCGCTTCAGGCCACTGGTGGCTGGGTAGCCGCATGCCACGTAACAGCTTGCGCATGGTGTTCTGGAGGGTCCTGTTCATCCGCTCTGCCACGCCTTGCTGTTGGTGAGCATAGGGAAGAGAGAGGAGTCTCTTGATGCCTCTCTCCGCCAGGTACTGTGTGAACCTCTGTGATGTGTATTCTCCTCCCTCGTCTGACTGGAAACTTTTCAGCTTCACCCCTGACTCTCGTTCTGCTACTGGAAGCCAGGCGACGAAAGCTTAGAAGGCCATGTCGCGGCTTGGGAGATTGAGATGCCATACGTATCGTGTGGCGGCGTCGATGAAGGTGATGACGTAGTTGTACGCGCCTTGACCGGGCTCGCGATTGTACAGTATATCGCTGTAAACATTCTCCAGAGGTGCGTATGCCGGTGCACTTGGGTTGTGGTGAGGGACGAAAGGCTGATGCGGTAAGTCGGCTTCAGGGCAGGTGAGGCATGATC